AACATGCATTTCTTATTTGTATCGACACGGCATGTTATTGTTTTCAACACAAGTCACGCAAATTCATATTTTTATTGACTTTTTATACAAAAAATATAAATCGTCAATATTCGACGATTTTGAGTGAAAGTGGAAGCATAAAATATCTAGCTAGTACATGTATATACGAGGGTTGTCCCAATATAATGTGACAATATTGTTTGAAAGCTAAATAAAATAGTTACGAATTTGATATTTTATGTCAAGACATATTAATCAATATTATGCAAAAAAAATCACAAATTTACATAGAAAAATATCGACAAACAACATAAATATGCCATAAATACTATAAAAACTACAATGTATTCGAATAGCGGCGCACATCAAACGTCAAAGACTGCGTTAAATCTATATTAAGCGCCTTTCTCAAACACTCTCATTTCAACGCAAAAACGGTGCGGTTTCACTCATTAATCGTCAATTACGAACTGATACTATGTGGTTGTTTGTCTCTGTTCAATGTTTGGACGGTATACACTATAATTTCTTGCTAGAAGCACACTTCCGGTCTTGTTGCACCTGTTCTAGATATGGGAAATAGGTGATGGAGATTGGTCTTCCTATTCGTCATTTCCTTATTTTTGCCTTTTTGTAGTACAGAACTCTGGTTCCGTTCATATTTTTTGTAAACAAATGCTTGAGATATGTCATTTAACTGTTCTGTCAGGTACATAAGTTGATTATTCTTAACAGATATTATCCCGAATTACTCACAAAACACCTAATTACTGTTCGCTACGCAGCAAATTCTTCGGGTGTCGCCATTCCCTAACTTCCTTTTTTCTATGAGATATTTTAATTTTTTCGTCTCTCGTCCGTTTCTTAAGTTATTTAACTAATATTTTCTACAATGATGACATACATGACAGCAGAGGAAGTAAACGTCATATTATGCAGACAAATCACATCTGATATTTGAAATATACGTACTTTATTTAAGCCTATTCAAAACGAAATACAAATTAATTGACGTGCTCCGGGAACTCAAACCAATGTCGTTTTCTTCGAACATTTTAAAGTATCTATAATAGATGTTTTGTTAATGATTTGTTGTAATGTAAAAAAATAACTTTTATGTTATGTGTGTGAATAATTATCTATTGGCGATACAAATGAACCGTCTTTAACATTTGTCACACTCGTACATCCCAGGAAAGACAATATACATACTTTACGCTACACAGATTAAACATATGAGCTTCTATTACTATAGTTCATGATGTTCCAAGTTCTTAAACAGAGAAATTCCTAATTTGCTACTGTACATAACTCAAAACATATAATTATTATGACAGATAACTTAAACTAACACTGAATTCTGATTCACATAAAGGAGAATAGAAAGGGCAAACATAAGTGTATACAATGTAATATATTATAAACTAAGTATTATCTGTGCAAGAAAAGAGTTTTGATAAAATACAATTAATACAATTGTGATAAAGATACTGTAACTTCTCAAAATCAGCAAAAAACATCTTTCAAATGCTTTTTTTTAAACACTGCATAAGGGCTTTACTTACCTACCTTCCTACTAAAAGATTGTTATGTATCTATATATTGAAATGAAGGCATGCGTAACCTGTCAACATATTTGAATAACCACATCACCTTGAAGGAAAAAAATGTATTCTATGCATGACTTAAATAGCAAAGTTCTTACTCATTTTCGATTAACTTTATATGTATTTTCTGAAAATTACCGAAATTTTGTTTATATATTTTTGCACTTCATCTGACTTATACATTTATATTCTGGAAGAATATGCCTTTACTGAATAACTACATGCGCTTCTGTTATATCGTTAATCAAATTATTTATTGGTTTATAGTTTTTATGTCTTTTGAAGTCTTCAGTAAAGGAATATCCTACAAGACTTTAAATGTAAAAATGTATAGATAAACAGCATAAAAAGTACATGAACAAACGTTCGGTAACTTTCAGAAAATACATTATAAGTAAATCGAAAATGAGCAAGAACTTTGGTACTTAAATCATGAATAGAATCCTTTTTCTTCTTCAAATATTTGGAAAGGTTTGCATGATTTCATTAAATACATTGATACTGAAAACACCTTTAGTAGAAAGATAAATTATTAAAACCCGTATGTAGTTTTTTAATATTTTAAACAAGCATTTAAAAGATATTTTTCCTGATTATGAGTAGTTATAATATCTTCATCACCATTGTATGAATTGTTTTATTTTAAAACTCTAATTGCATTAATAAAACTTTATAAAATATGTACATTGTATACACTTATGTTTGAGATCAGATTCAACTAGCTCCGTTTTTCATGCTTTTTTTGTATTCGCCATTTTGTGAATCAGAATTCAGTGGTAGGTTAAGTTGTCAGTCATTACAATTATATGTGTTTTATAATGTACAATAGCAAATTAGGAATTTCTCTGTTTAAGAACTTAGAACAATGTGAAATATAGTAATACGAATATCATACGTTTATTCTGTTTTAGCGTCAAATAGGAGGTTCGAATACAATTAATACTTTCAAAACGATATATTTACTTTCCTGAGATATATATACATATACTAGCTAAATGTTTAATGCTTCCAATTTGTCCAAAATCGTCAAATATTGACTATTTATAATTATTTGTATCAAATAAATCAATTAAATATGAATTTGCGTGACTTATATATAAAGCAATAACGTGTCGTGTCGACACGAATAAGAAATCCCCGTTAAATAAAATAGAGACAAGTCATTCATTTATTCAAATATGTTAGCATGAGTTATCTTAACCCAATTTATTTTTCAATTCTAACGTAAAAATCACATTTGCATAGCTATAAATCATGTAAATGTTTTGAGAAAACATTTCGAATGATGCTACAAAAAAAAGAGTCAAGGTTCATTGTGTTACATATGGTCTTTTTATACGATTGGTTCACACTCGTTTTGCATTAAAGAGCCTTATACACTATTATACAATTTTATTTCATGCGGCTTCGAAGCAGCCGAGTCTTAATATGGTTTTTGTATACGAAGATTTTTGTACTTCACAACAGCATGTGTCAAGTGCTGTGTGGCAGCTGTAAAAAGTTGCCCCGTACTTCACTTTAGTCTTGTTATATTTTTCTGGTCCTTCGGGATCATTGATGCCAGCACTATTAAGTGTTGAGAATAGCGTACCGCTCAAGCCGGTGCTAAGGGGCGTGAGGGATGTTGCACTTATTCATTATCCCTCATGTACAGACTAAGTCAAACCGAGTCTGCAATTCTTATGTCATTTTGTTGTTATTAATGCTTCCGCGGGATCACTTTGTTTCCAGATTTTTGAATAAGACGCATGGTATTTACTACAGAATGACACGATTTTTGCGAGTAGTTACTGAAAAACAAGTACATAAAACATTCATATAAATAAACTTTATATTTCAGGTAAAATAGCAAGAATAAATTCTTTACATATCGTAAGATGAATTCAAAAAAAGTCTTTTGTTGTGAAATTTATAACCAGTCCAAACCGGTGGCCTCGTACCACCAAAAGAATTAGAAAAATGATGAATGTAATTTTGTAGAGGCTGAAATTACTGTATGCGCGACCTAACAGTAAAAACGCAACATCTTTTTTTTATTTTAGATATAATTATAAAGAAGGGATACAATACCAACGGACTTGCTTTTGGCAGAAATAAATATACATGTACATCTTAGCATATATGGATACAATAGAAATAAATCTTAATCTTTACATACATTACATTTAACTTATCCATAATATCAGCACTTTTGTGTGTTGGTTGTTGCATCTCCATTTATTGCTTTCTTTGCTGTTTAATTAGGTCACCTTGAAGCAGTTTTATTGTCCTATGTAATTCCGTGGCCGATGAACATTTAAAGGCCAACTCCTCTAAATAGAACAAATCTTTACTGATACTCAAGCATCATTGTAACGCTAAAATACCCTTTTTTATTCTTATACTAAATGCTTGATCAGTGGAAGGGAAAAATAAATAAAATCAAACACACTTTTATTCAATGAACAAGAAAACAACAAAGCACTATAAAAACCAACAACTGATACAATAACATATTTATAACATATTACATATACATACGTAATTACAACCGTTTAATGTAACAGATACTTTACAGAGTACCCTTAAAAATCCGTTGTCGACTTTATTATACATTGGAATGCTTATTTTAAGATAAAATTCTTGTGAAAGCAAAGCATCAATAAACAACGATGGTAAAGGTTAAAAAACAAACGTGTTATTGATGCAGGATTCGATGTGTTCTACTCTTATCACTAATAAATGATATTTTACAAAAAAAATCATATAATCATATCAACAATATTTTACATTACCAAAGTCTCTTACCCTTTCGAAGAAATACGTGCAACTAATTACTGGTCAAATGGACAGAAAAGGCATATACTCTATTAAGAAGCAGGATAGAAATTTAATATTTGCAGGTTAATTGTACTTATCCTTATACTATCGTTTTAAGTCATTAAGCATATTTGTCTTCTTGCTATGTAAGCTTTTGCTTCAAATGTTAAACCCGAAATGAGACCATTCCTGACCTAAGGGACATGCCTTATATTATGATTTTTGCAACGGTTGATATCTTCTCATTAACAATGATATTTCACAAAAGATTCTTTCAGACAATCTAAATGACAAGAGCATGAAACATAATCCTGATAAAAAATTAAGTTAAATCATTCTGTTAATTCTTATTTATTTTATCGGAAAAAATATACCAATAGTTTAACATTGATTCAACATTCAAATACATATGCTTTAAACATCCGCCAGTTGCTTTTTGCCAACCCGGTTTACAAATTCAACTTATGTACATTTGAAAAGTCACTTTTGTGAAAAAGATTTCTAGATTTCTAACACAATATAGTTTGTCTTTGTATATATTTCTTTTCATGTTGCGTTTCCAAATGTAAAATGCGGTTTGCAATGGCACACTAAATGTTAAGAAAACATGTTTAATTCTATTTTAATACTTTAAAAGCTTTTTCAAATGAATTTTAGTTTTGAAATGACATGCCTTTGCAAATCATCATCAAACAAATGAATTGCATGTGTTGATATATGTTATGATAAAGCCATTGAGAACTTTCGCATGAACTGTATACATCGTACCACGATGATAACTTTGCATGATATAAATGTATTGTCAGCAAAATAAAACGAAATATTAGTTGTTTTAAAACTTCAAACCGTCCACCGCTTCACATCGTCTTAAATAATGTTTACTTATATTTTGTGTTTGAAATACATGAATCAGGTTTTCCCAGCTCCGGGAAGAGCTTCGGGAAGATATCTGGGAAGAGCTTGTATACTTGACACTTTTGTTTGAAGACTTATGCTGGAATCCTGAACTTGACTGAAATCAAATAGGAAATAATATCGAATAATGTTTCAATTTTAAGATCACCTTTGCACTTAAATAAAAACTTGAAAACCCAAAAGGCAATAACAAGCTGATTTAGAATTTAATTATTATTTACACATTTCTCTTTGACATTCTTTTATATTAACACTATTCGTGAATTATAAACGATGATTAAATACAAACAGAATCGCTAAAGAAATCCAAACACGGCAAAAATTAAAAATGTTGCAGACTCGGCTTCATTAAGCCTGTTCATGGGCGGTGGTGGTAATTGCAAGGTACCGTCCACGCCCCGTAGCACCGGCTTAAGCAGAACTTAACATTTAACATGAATAAATTAAGTCATGAAAACAACTAATCACCGTTTTTTTCTTGATCTCTTGCAGCACACACGGTAACCAAAACGGACTGAAATAATAACGACAACAACAGTACACCCAACAGCAATTCCAATTATCATTTCTGTTGTCATTTGTGAATCTCCCTCTTCACAGGTACCTGAAATGTTTGTCAATCAATCAATCAATCAATCAATCAAAGCTTTCCTATAATATGTGTACTTTAATCATCCATGAAAATGGTCAACAAAAACATTATGATAACAAAATGTAAAGATTAAAGAGTGCAGGTTTTGTGTCGAGTTGACCTCAGTCAATCTAGTGATTTTATTTTCCAAATTAATTCATGAGCTTCCATGTATTTGTTTCAGTTGGTGCTTTGTAGATTTCTAACAGGATCTGTAATTCTGTCGGACCACTCTTTGGGCAATTCTAGTTTTTTTATCTGCTCGATTCAAATTAAATTACCGCACTATATTAAACTAATTGAACTTTGTTCGGAGTACTCGGCCAATTTTTTATGCCACCGCAGCATCTGCGATGCGGTGGCATATAGCGATTCACCTGTGTGTGTGTTTGTTTGTTTGTTTGTGTGTGTGTTATATAGATTATATAGTGAACTTCAAAAAATCTTCTCGTGAAAAACAACTAATCCAATTTCAACCAAACTTGGCAGGATTGATCCTTGGGTGAAGGGCTTCCAAAGTTGTCCAAAGAATTAAATTCCATGTAGAAATCTGGTTGCCATGGTAACCAAAAGGAATTATAAGAATAAATTTAAAAAATCTTCTTGTAAAGACCCAAAAGTCCTAGAGCTTAGATATTTTGCATAAAACATTGTCTGGTAGACCTCTACCAAGATTGTTCAAATTATAGCCCTGGGGTCAAAATCGGCCCCGTCGCGGGGGTCATTGATTTACACTATATGTACATATAGTAAAAACTTAAAATACCTTCTTGTAAAGACCAATAGGCCATAGGCATTGATTTTCCTCATATTTACATAGTAAAAACTTATGATAAAACTTTAAAAAAAATTCTTCTAGCAATTGACAAATGCTAGAGGATAGATATTTTGCATGAAACATTGTGAAGTGAACCTCTAGCAAGATTGTTCAAATAATAGCCCTGGGATCAAAATTGCCCCCGCCCCGGGGTCATTGATTTTCAATATATACATATAGTAAAAAATCAAGAAATCTAATTGTCTGAAGGTACAAGGCTTAGAGCTTAATATTTGTTCAATTATATCATCTATAGGTACTCTACCAAAGTTGTTCAAATTTTGCCTCTAGTGTCAAAATTAAAAGTGAACTTTGATATCAGCGGACCTAGATTTTGACAAAGTGTTTTACATGTTGTACTTTGATGCAATCATGAAATAGGCTGTGTGAAATAGGACCTTCACCACCAACTTCACTAGACTCAAGTGCATTGATATATTCCTACTCTGATCTTTTATTGAGTTAACAATAGATTTAACCACTAATCTGATAATAAGAATTAGATAGGTCTGGGATCTATGCATTATGACAATCTTCACTTGTATAGAAACAAAACAAATATGTTCCTACACTACTATTTAGTGTTGTATTAATGCGGTGGCATAGCATTTTTCTCAAATACAATCTTGTTTTGAGACCTGTCAATAGTAAAACATATTTGAGGAAATATATCTATATGCACCGGTATCTGTTCTTTTTTTCAAGCATCCAAGAAAAATGTGTTTAAGTTTGCTATACCATTCTGTTGATGAGTAAATGCAATTAATAATTGTGAAATAATATAATTTCTTTAAAAATAAGAAATTAGATATAATTACCATTCGTCCATCCGTAGAGGTTTGACTCTGGGTCACAAAGTAAACAATCGACCGCTGACAAAAAGTTACGACCTACACACATCCCGTTGATAAAGCAGTAGCCATCCTATTGGGGGAAATAAACTTATATTATTATCTTAAAGGCAAATGGTTTGCTGTAACACTAAATCTGTATTAATATTTCTGTTATAACCCTCGTTTTGAGAAGGTATAACAGTACTTCTTTTTCGAATTCTAATATTATGAAATATATTCTGCAATATGCTTAGTTTCCTTTTTTTATTTCATTTTTCTCATTGAATAATTAGCGAGTTTATCCTTTACACTATATTTTCATCATTTCATCATTCCAAGTTTTGAATGGATGTATTTCTTCCAAATAAATAATGTCATTTGAGAGCATATTTATGTATTTCTCCGGATGAATGTCTCTTAGGGCATATATATATTTCAGATTTATAAGAATGATAGAGGTTCTGAAAGATATTGTATCTTTTCCGCATAAGTTTTTTCTTTTTTTTAACTTTGTCACAGATGATTACACATTTTGTAGGCAAGCGTGTCAAAAGTCTTACAATTCATTGAGACCTATTTTTATGAAATTGTCCATTCCTGAAAAACTAATGCCATTTATTGAAAGGGATAATCCTCAACGTGTATTAATTATCGAATAAAAATCCGTATATTTTAAAATCTATAAATATTTTGTGTCCTTACTTAAAGTAAATAAGTATAAAAAAGGCATCCAAGGGCTATCAGTGATCAATTGTGTCGCCTCATGATCGCAATTGTATGTTGCTGCTTCTTTGTAGTAGGGGACAAAAATCATTAACAGGGCAAAGGGCGTATTTTTTTATTCAAGGGCCATAACTCGGTCAAAAATCCTTCAACAGGACAATGCGTGTACTATACTCAAGAACTTGAGCTACCGATTAATCCTGTAAAGTTCCATTGAAATTGCATAAGTGGAATAAGAGGAGTATTTGGGCAAACTTTAAAAAACTCATTAAAGGGTTATTACTCAGCCTAAAGTCATTGAAGCGTAAAACACATGTAATATGCGCAAGAACTTGAGTGACAAATGAATTTTGTAAGGTTTCATTGAAATTGTCGTAAAAGAATTGAAGGATCGTAATTCTGACAAAATCACTGAACCAAAAAAGGCGATAATATGTACAACTAGACTTGGTATTGATCATTCCTGAACAGTTTGGATGGAATTGCACTAGTAGTTCCTGGGAGGTATTCCGGACAATATTTTGTGTAGCTGGTAACACAATCTGAGCAACAGATCAATCCTGTAAGGTCTCATTGAAATCATATTTATAATATAAGATAAGTAGTCCGGACAAATTTTAAAAATAAAACATTAAAGGGCTATTACTCTGACAATAATCATTAAGTCGGAATTGCCATGCCAACGATATGCACAACTAGACTTAGAACCCATCATTTTTGTAAAGTTTGGATTAAATTGCACCGGTAGTTTATGAGGAGTAGTCCGGATAATTTTTGTGACGGACGAACAGACAGACAGACAGGCGAAGGAGTTGTCCTTATAGGTCGCTACTACCCTGTAAAGGCGACACAAAAAGAATAGAAATATATCATGAAATACTGCTTGAAAAAGTGTTAATGAAGTTTACAATGATATAGTATGATAATTATAATGACATTTTGTTCTAAATCATTTTGTTTTCTGGTAAATATAAACAAATCAATATATGATATATATGTATCTCACACTTTCGTGGATTGTTGTTATACTTAATACTAAATACTATCAAAATAACTATTTGCATTACAAGCCTTTCAATATTAACCTATTCACTTAAACAAATATTTTATTATTAACCTTCAGATAAATGGTGATATTCTCTTGACTTGAACTTTGTTTCAAACATGTTGTATCATAGACAAAGACGGTGTTGATTTCACCATAGGTATCACCATCATTGCTGACAGAAATGTCATACGAGATAACAAAAGGATCATCATCGTTGATTTCTTCAGATCGCCTTTTTCTACTGTCAGGTGCGCAACACTCGCCAGTGAAGATATCCTCATAGTAACCAGCATGAATAGATTGTTCCATCTTAACTCGAGTACCATTGAGATATACCTTTATATATAATGGAAAAGTTTAATTATCTCATGAGACCATACTATTAGTCCCGTGGGTAGTATTTTTATTACTTCATGAAAAATACTTTTCTTTCCAGTCTTTATTTGCAAAATGATAATGTATTTTACTTGAGAATCACCGTACTTTCCAACACTAAACTTTCAAATTTAATTTTGAAAAAATTGCAATGTATATTATAAATTGTTTAATATTACAAATTTATAAAATTCGATATTATTCTTTTGTAGAATGAATCTTGAAATTAAACGGGAGTAAATATATTATTAAATAACATGCAATATTTTTACTCCATATTTATATACTTAATACATTCTATTATATAATCAACTTCAAAAGTCATGTTAAAATATAGGCACTGATAAAATGTGAAACAAACCCTTTGTTTACTTATGTCACACATAAAACCATCAAATATGTTGTCAGATCTGATTTCGAAGCAAGTACAGTCATCCTCTTCTGTGATTTCACAGATTCCGTTTCCCTCTATACCATACACTACAGGAGGTATTCTTATGTCATCACTACAGTCTGGTCCACGGAATGTTCCATTACATTCACATACTCCTAATACATTATTAAAAAAGCTGATAGATGTGTTTGCATGGAAACTACGCAAAAATACATTAAAGATCCTGTATGTTTAGTGATTGATATTGTTACTGTGTGTATACCACATTTACATGAAATTATATATGTATATAATTATGCAAATAAAACAATTTTCAAACATCAAAAAATATGCAACTATTTGTGCACATTATATGCAATCAATATAGTATATGCATTCATTTCATATTGGTAAATTTGACTCTGATAACCTCCCTTTCTTTACATGAAATGTTTAATTCGATAATATCTATATGAATAATGCTTATTTGAAATTACAATATTGACAAATCGTATTTTGAGGATCATATTTATGATATAAAACCATAAAAATTTGTGTTACAGGATCTTTAAGGGAATATCTTTCTGAAACCTTGATTGAACAATACACAAGTTATTGTGAATACCGAATATGTTATCATTTATTAATTAACAACCTGCAAATTTCAAACACCACAGCATCGCAAGCGGCAATTACGCTAGTCTGTGAGAAATATGCTAAGTGAAAATGGGGCATAACTCCTAAAAGTATTGCTCCTAGACTAACACTTATACCTGTAATGATAATCAAGTGTTTCGAGTTTCATGTTGAAAGCTTTGATAGTTTTGTAATCATCATACGTAGGCAATAGCAGAAAGAAAACTGACATTAAAATATCTATTACAAAGGGACAATACTCGACAAATATCATTTTCAGAATAATGCCCTTTGTCTTACAACTTAAGCATCTAATGATAAACAGGTATTCTAACTTTCATGTTTATACTTTTTAAAGTTCTGAAATTATTCTACTTAATGGATAATTAAATGGAAATTCTAATTTAAAAAAATGATTATAACTTAAAAAATATTTCTTGAAGAATTATGCATCCTGTCTTACAATTACATTTAACCATGACCATAAAATGCCACAAGGTTCTTGTTGAAACCTTTCAAATAGTTGGACTACATTAAAGTTACTAGCACGACTGCAGAAACAGCACCGACGACTTAGCAGTCATAATTGCTCGTCGTTTTCTTCGAAACAGACGAAATTAAATAAAGTCTCTCCCAAATGATGCATAATGGCAAATTGTAAATAAACATTTGTTTGCATAACTTATATTTACAGTATATCATAATCAAATTAATTATTTTACATCCCAGGAAATTACTTTGAAGACATAGTTTAGCATATTTGTCATTGTTTAATAACTGCAACTATTAATTCAATAACTGCAACTATTAAATTCATGAAAGTGTATTGTTATGCACCTTTTCATGCAGTTTATATTATTGGTGATAACGTTATTACCTGTTTCAAGACATTCACCATTTCCACTACAATTGTTCAAACATATTTGTGAACGAAATGTGTTAACCTTTTCTGTATTATTTGCAACAAAGACAGGATTGAGGTTTAAAACAGTATCTGCGACATTGTTGACATTTGTGACATGCGCGTCTATCCAACCTGTATCATTTCCATGCTGAAAGATATACATATCTTTTGTTATGCGTTGATATTTATAAACATATATCTAGTGATATTTTAGTCGAATCACCTTATAAAGAATGACGAAATCAAATATTTTTCATACAATGCTTACTAAGCATAGAGTATATCGGCAGTACTTATAGAAAACAGACAATTATCTGACTATTATGCTCTATTTCTTGTCACAGTCGTCCACGGATATATTATATTACTTTGAAGAAAAAATACAACGTTCACACAATCAAACGTACGGTCAAATCATAAACACATTGATCAACAATTATGTCGGGATCTTCTTCTGCAAGATAGTCTGGAAACTCCATAACTGCTGGAGTGTTATAAATGGAGCTGTTACACAGCGCAAATGCTTCTTCTTCTGTGAAACTATCTGTGCTTCTCTGAAAAATATTTACAAAAAAATCAAAGACGACGACAGCACATTAGAATAATAAAAGCATTTAAGCAATAAATATTTATATTTTCTAAGAGATTACATAACATATGGTGATAAAGAAAGAATTGGAAACCTGGATAGAACGCCAAAATCGAAAATAATGCTGGCACGGTTTGACAAAACACATTTACAAACGGCAATAGTTAATGCAATATTCTTTCTACGCTACTATCAGCGGCTTGAACAGAAAGTTATTATACTTTTAACTTACAAAGTGAGTGGCATTTGATGAATTCATATTATAAAGTTTACGTTTATAATCAACATAAAGTACCAACCCTTTCTCTGGATACAGACGCATGGCCGATTTGTTTATGTTGTACAAGAATATTTGTCTCTCGCCTTGTTCTACGATAAATCTTACATTTCCTTTTTGTTATAGAATTAGGTCTGCTACAAGGCTGATCTGCCATCCCGTTCATTTGTGTGTTCCATGGTGTCAGTAATCGTGCATCATTTTTAAACAAGTTTTCTTCATCTGTCAATCTGATATATTAAACAAAGCAGTATGTTTTATTTAGAAAAGCAGTTTACGCAAACAAAATGAGTCATTGTATCTGTTTGAATGTATGCTCTTATCAAAAGAACTAGTATTAAATTAACAAAATACAAGGTTCACAAAAATGTTGTGACAATGTATTCAGACATCTATCCATATCAAAGAAAAATTATCACTATGTTTTATAAAGATTGAAAACTTCTTTATGTAGTATAATATAATTTTTGTTCATATTTACAGAGATATATTTTACTAATATGAATTTTATGCCGGTGAATATGATGTGATATGTATGGAAAAATATACATTATGGAACGAGGTGAATTATACCTTTTTAGTATACATCAGCTTAAATATATCTGCTTTCTTTTCCTTGCAAAGTTATTAAGATTTTGACAGATTTTATGACCTTAATATATGAACTTTTCTTTTTTGAATATATAACAAGAGCCACTAGTTGGTAACGTTTATTTAATTGGATAGTCGTGACGTTTTAAAATTCTAAATACGACTGTTTTAAAGTATCATTCGTTTTTCCTTAAAGTAATTCTGCTGAATTATAAATTTGTTATAATGGGATGTTTGCGAAGATTACTCGCCTAGCAGTTCGTGCTATATTATAAATAAAATCTTATTTATAAAAAAGCACTTTGATATGGGTTATCAAATCTAACTGAGTACGACATAAATGGAATTGAATGCCTTCAGCTCTTTTACTTCTTCCATGTTGGGCAATTTTTTAACGTACAACGTACGAGAAAGATAAATTCGTAATATACATAAATAAACTTTACAATAGAGTACTTATAAATTTATTGACGCAATTCACCAACGTTTCTTCAGAGTAATGACCACAAACCAGATTCATGTTCAACTTTTATCCTCGCGTTCTTTGGTAAATTTATGAAAAATGTATGCCCTGAAATTCTAATCTTATGAAGTAAATATTGAATATGCTCTGTTCCTGAACAATATAAGTAAATGCAATCTACTGTCCACGCCCCAGGACCAGTTAAAGCAGTATTCAAAATTTTGTATTAAGAAATGACCGCAGATGTGTTTATACGGCAGAGATCATAGAACAACGAACCATTCCGAGGAAAGCACCCTAGGGGTCAAAGGAATTTATGGTTCCTAAATAGGAAATCTATGAACACCACTAAATGAAATTGTGTCTTAAAAGAGAATCAGAGGTCATTAAGCCTGCATATAGTTGACAAACTGTCAAGAGACTTATTTGAAAGACAAACCTTGCTTTAATATACTTTATGAAGTACATCGTCCAGTATGTAAATCAAGATATTGAAGAAAAAAATGATAACATGATGTTTGTTGAAAAACAAAAGCATCCGTTTGAAATCAAATCTATTTCAGATTAAAAGCCTTTACCTCCAACTATCCGCGAAGCTGTAACTCCGATTGTCGTCATCTGATATTGTCTTGTTGTCTCTGTGAAGAAGATCATTGCTTCTGTCCCCATCAAATGTTCCACATAAGCCATCAACATTGCCGTAATCTTTAGCAGACATGTATATGTCAATGTTCATTGTGTTACTCCATCCATGAAGTGCTATGTCGATAATAGTACCAATAGGCGTCCTGACCTAAGGAGTTTTCGGAAATCAATGTAATATAAAGTATTGGAAAATTTGTCTTAGCTATACAACTCAGACTACTCATCCAATGCATGAAAATGCTTTTGTAAATCTTTAAATCTGAATTAACTTTTCAGAAATGACGGTTATATATGTTACTCTTATTGCTTGGCATAAAGTGAACCCTTTTTTACTGTTCGTATTCTGTAGATCTATATTCTGCATGATGCAGTGTATTTTGCACTGTGATAGTTTAAAATAGAATACAGAAAACGGAATCCCTAAATAACGCCCAAAACGATCTGAAATGTTGCAGGCTCGGTTTGATTGAGTCTGTTAATGGACAGTACTGGCAAGTACAAGTTACAGTTCACGCCCCTAGCACCGGTTAAAGCAGAATTCAACATTTTGAACATGGAAAGTGGTGAAGTTTTGAATTTGGAAACATCCGCAGACGTGCGATTATCACAGAATCTTCAATATGACACTTTCGTACCATTTCATGAAAAAAGAGAAATACAGAATCCCTAAAGAAAGCCCAACACGACAAAATTGAAAATGCTTTTGTAAATCTTTAAATCTGAATTAACTTTTCAGAAATGACGGTTATACATGTTTGCTTAGTTATTTGAGTCTTCAGGTGTAAAAATACGAGTAAGGGAATCATGGGCTAATTTGAATAAATTGATAAACTTGCTTATTTTATGTGAAATAATTTAAATGAAATGTGAAAATAGCAGACAATGATTTCACAGAAATACTTTATGTATCAAGAAAAGCAAAGTTATTTAAATCTTGATAATGTATGTTAATATACTGATTAGGCTAAGCACTATATGTATTCTAAGTCCGCTAGAAGATGATCAGCTGAGATGAAAAGACTGCGTGCTGTTAACAGAGTAAGTAGCCAGGTATATTTCAGGTTTTCTTTCTCTATGTCAGCATATGTGTAAAATTAGTTAAAAATATCAATGTACTTTTACTGCTTATGCTGAATTTTGTTTCTATATATTCCCCCGTTTTGTGTTATATACAGACCTTGTAATGATGGGGATGTATTTCGTCGATATCAATAAGGCCACCTTCATTACACTTTAAGTCGAATTTAAATACAGTGTTATAACATTTATTGAAGATGAAAGTATCAGCTCCAACAGCTATTGCTATTCCACATGCACAAACAGGTCCGCTGTTTGATCCAGGGGAACAATACTGAGCTGATTGTTGAACCTGAAAGTATACAGATGTATGTTACGTTGTTGCATTGTTGGCCTTGTAACTAAAAGTACTCCTTTGCAAAGTCTACCCTTCTGATAGATCATTTGTCAATTTTTGAAATAATTTGCTATCAATGTATATTTAAAGTTGTGTTTTTCCTAAATCTGAATAAGAAGTTTAGCTATCGATATAATAAATGGACAACATATGATAAACAAGATCACCAAGGAAAGGCGGCGTTCAATGAACCCTAGCATCAAGAACCCCAGAAGGACAGAAGAACCCAAACAAAACAAGACAGGGCGCAAGGCAGAGCACGGACAGACTTATCAGCAAAACTGCAGTGGCTTTTGTTATCAATTGTGATTTAATTTGTGGATTCAATGTTTAAGCTTCATAGTAGATTATTTTATGCCAGTTAAACACAAGAAAATTTCACATTTAAAATTTGTATACATTATGCATAATACTTAAAGTTTTATAACCTCTGTTTGGTATTTTTTGTTCCTGTATAATGTATAATTTCCTTCCTTTTGAGCTTCATAATTCCTGAAAAATGAGAGAAATGTAAGTAATAAGTAAAAACTTTAACCCATTACCAGATATATACGCCTTTCTACGCCTTTTCCATCCCCCTTTTAGTTGCCTCAAATGGTGAAAAAATGCCTTATCTAGGCCCCCAACACTTGTTTTTGTTTGAGAAAAGTTGTTTAAAAAAGTGACCACTTTTTCGGCGCGGCCCCCAGCCAAAAGATATATCAGGGGGTTTGGGAAGAAAATTTTGGACTTTTGAGAGGCTAAAAATGACCCCAGATTGATCATAAGGTAGCGTGTAATCAACGCTGAAAAGCATTTGACTCTATCTCAATCCATTGAGAAGTTGCAACACTTTGAAATCAATTTTGATGGAAAAAATCAGTGTAAAATAGTGATTTTTTGGCATTTTTGAGATGTGTCCTCGTCGCCATGGTGACAGAAAATTTAAGTCTGAGCATGTTGTTACAAAGGCACTGGTCCAGTCAACATTTGCGCCAAGTTTGATTAGCATTGAAGCAGTTTTTATAGTTTTATAGCAATTGGAACTTGTAACGGGAGCCTTTTTAATGAAAACAGCCATTTTTCACAAAATGCTCATGGGGTAATGGGTTAAATGTAATTATTTCTAGCGCTGCAAATGCATATGGTTAATTGTCATCAGAAAGGTCTGTGTCAGCCACCAGGAGTTTGATATACCAAAATATTCGTCGGAGTCTGTACCTTCTGAAGTGAAATTAATTATACACGAATAAACAGCTATTTATATTGATTCTTGTTTAACTACTTTAGTTTAAACAGATAAACATATTATTATTTTATAATAATTACTTATAACTAATTAAACAGTGTTTAAAAGCCATTTCATTTCATTAAATTAGTTAAAACAATTCCTACATCAATTATTAATGTTAATTTAAGTCTGATACAGGAGAGTTAATATATTGAACACCTATAGATAATACTTACTTGAAGTTTGATTGTTTAATATTTTATTACTTCCATTGACTTGCAGTTAAGCGAACCGTGCGCAATATGTAATTTGGGTAATATATAATGTTGAAGTATTCTAGTAATTTCAGTAACTTTAGTATAAATACATTTCGAGTTTAATGATGGAAATGCTGGGGTGTATAGGTATAAAAAGACGAATTTAAGCTTTGAGCATATTTGCATATCGATATAAGAATTTTAGATGAAGAATCAAACTGCTATCCTGACATAAGTTAAGGAGTGTAAGAGATGCTACACTTTCCATTGTCCCTGTCACAAATAGACTGAATCAGTCTGAGTGTAATTATATTGTTATCATTGATAATAGCGAAAATCTTAACTTGCCGCAGACAAATTTGAAAAAAAGCACACACACTTAAGAGAACAGAGTGACTGCTTATTTGCCACAAACATGTTAGCATCTACACATTTGTTAAACCATATTTAAATGTATTTTAACAAAAGAAGTTATTTGATCTTAGGGATTTGGCGGTCAACTTTGACGCAATCATGGTATTGTTATGTTGTATTTTTTTTCATTTGCTTTTTCCAAAATATTTGTCATAAAATAACTAAATTTTCAACATTATGAAAGGAAAAGTTGATATCATATAAATATCATTGAAATATACAAATATGTGAATTATCAGTAAGCCAGACCGCTGACATGTTTATTGCATTTAACGTGTCTGACACATTTATGACACATAATTATAAGCATCAATTTTATGTAAAATATTAATTTTAAGTAAGTTTGCTTATCTGATTATCTGTTTGACTTAAATAAAGGAATTAACAGTCCGCTGGCTTTTTAAATCTGGCGTGTTAATTAGTTTAAATATTTTTGATTTGTCGAATCGATATTATCATTATTCATATAATGCATTTTCATTTGTTGATATAATAATATCTTGTTGTATTTTCATTGGTTCATTATTGAAACTATTGTAACAATTTTTCTTGCATAAATAAAAATAAAAATTCAGAACAATTCAAACAGGAAATGGGTAAGGTTTTTAGTGTACATATATGATATATAGAGATGGTATTTCAACCGATTGCAATTGTTATTATAAATATAAATAGAAAAATTATATTTAAACAAAAAAATAGTCTTACCGAGTTTGTGATAAAATTATAATCTAAAGGATAAAAATTTGGACACAAAAAATTATTATACAATCAGTAGAGATCATTATGTCAAAAAAATATAAAGATATTATGACAGACGAAACTTTCCCATCCTACCTCAACACCACCCCCCCCCCTCCTCCACAATAGCTAAGCAAGCAAAATGAAAGTTCAAGTATGAAACTTACTATTGGCTGACAAAGACAGGGTGACCCTCTTAAAAGGCTTGTAAATAGTCTGATTTGCAGCACTATTCATCTCGATTTAACTTCACTTCAATCATTCTATATACTTTAACTAATAAGAGTTTGACTTTTATAAGGGGAGCATGTATTTTTAATACCTGTAAATGTTATTTTGTTTCAAAACCTTTAAAACATAGTTACTTAATTTAGTTTAAGTAGACGTAAAAATTAAATAAACATATTATCTTACAATCCATCTACAGTTTTCATATGCGGATCGACGTGTGAATAACATCTTTTGTTCCGATGTCTGTAATTGTCTGTAATTCTTACCTGAAATAATAGTTTGTAGATATCTGAAAATATTTATCAATTCTTTCATATGCTTTAAATTTTGATGAGCTCCCCTTTCTGACTTTATGCTTTACTTGAGAAATTTTGAAATTTTATGCAAACATTTAATAAATTTTGGTGATTGATGTAAAATAAAAATATACTCACATGAATTGCTCCAATAGTCTGGAAAAAAAGAGAGAAAAAAGAAAAGAGAAATATTTTACTACATGTTCAACAATCACAGCGATCAATCGATTCAATAGCAATATATTGTAATAAGTTGTTTAAAAATAATTATAAATTAACAATATTATTCATTATTGTGGAATGTTTAATTCTGTATGTATATTTGATAACATTAACTTATTATCATGTATTATTTATAAATTGTAAAAAGCTCAATGACAAGTATTATGTTTAACATACCTCCGATCTTACTGATCTTCGTTTGTCATGACCGGTAGTGTCTGTTACGTATACTTGTAAGTCGAACTTTGTTGCATCGTCATATGTGCTGTCAGAAGTTGTCAACATTATCCTATGTGTTGTACTTGTCCATTGTTCATATTTCTTTAAACTCTGTACAATATCATACTATATATTTAAAGATCCGGTATGTTGTAGTTGAGGTTGTATACCACACTTAGTGAAAGTATATATATGTTTATAATCATGCTTATAAAACAATTTTCAAACATCGAAGAATGTGTAAAATATAAACTGCAAATATTTGTACTTGTTATATGTAATCAATCAAATATATGCACTCATTTCTTATTGAAACATTTGACTTAGACTTTATGGAAAATAAATTGTTCATTTCCTCCCTTTATTTGCATAAAATGTAAAAGAAGCCTACGACAAAGGGCAAAACCGTTAAAAGCTCCGAGTAAAAAAAGTAAATTAAAATTGATAAGACGCCCCAAGCAATATGTATATATTTATGTCAATATTAACCAAATTTGAAACATTACCGTTTATTATTTTTTCGATAATTTTTGACGGTACTGTAAAGTGCAAGTTACAGTCCACCCATAACTTTATGAGCATTTTGTGAAAAATGGCTGTTTTCATTGAAAAGTCTCCCGTTACAAGTTCAAATTGCTATAAAACTATAAAAACAGCTTCAATACTAATCAAACTTGGCACAAATATTGACTGGGCCATTGCCTTTGCAACAACATGCTCAGGCTTAAATTTTCTGTTACCATGGCAACGAGGGGACATCTCAAAATTGCCAAAAATCACTATTTTGCGTTGACTTTTACCATCAAAATTGATTTCAATGTGCTGCAACTTCGCAATACATTGAGATAGAGTCAAATGCTTTTCAGCGTTGGTTACACGTTACCTTATGATCCATCTGGGGTCATTTTAAGCCTCTCACAAGTAAAAAATTTTCTTGGCGATGAGGGGGGCTGTCGCCCCCTTCAAACCCCCAAACAGAAGGGGGCACATCCCCCTTTTAAACAAAATTTCTCAAACAAAAACAAGTGCTGTGGGCATAAATAAGGCATTTTTTCACCATTTGAGACAAGAAAAAGGGTGAGGATGAAAAAGGCGTGTATATCGTGTAATGGGTTAAGCAGATTTCAACATTTAATCACGAAAAATGGTGAAATTTTAAATTTAGAAACATCCGTAGATGTGTTCATACGGGGATAATCATGGAACCTTCAATGCGACACACTCGTGCCATTCCATGAAAAGCGGCGTATGGTCCCAAAGTTAAAGAATGCGTGTGCCTTAACGAGAAAACAATGGTCGGAACAAGATAAAATTGAATTTAAAAAGAGAAAACCATTTTCTTTTTAATTAAATCATAATTGATTAAAAAGAACACCAAAGCCAATCATTCAGAATATAGAAACCCCCTCTCGAACACACATGAAGATATTCATTTTGTGAAAACATATGTTACCTTTATTCTTACAAAAGGATTTCCGACATCAGCGGTGTTTTGTACACGAAGTTTTCCTGCACACATATCGGATACAGATGATTCGTCTTCAAAAGTCATTCTCTCTTCACAATTTGGTTCTTCGTCGTCAGTGTAATAGCAACCTTTAGGAATCGTCTGCTCTATATCAACTGTAGCAGAACCGCTCTTACTCAGTGTGATGGACTCGTCTTTTATCTGCGAGCAAAGATGGTCATTTGTTAATGCACACATTTAACTTAAAAGGTTTACGGTTTATATATATTTCTCATGTCAGAATCTATCATCTATGGCAGAGGTAAAACATTGCACTTACTTTTAATCCGGCAAAGAAGGCATCACTTAATGCTTCAGATGACTCATTTGCACCAGCCATGATTACACCACATTGCACCTGAAGACCAAAAGATGTATCTTAATATACGTTTTATGTGTTTTATTTTATACCTATATATTTTATCCTTGAAATATACACAAATAATTAAGAACAAATACTATTCAAAGGATACAAAAAAAGCATTAAGTGACAAATATTTATATATATTAGGAAGTGCATGACTACTTTTCTCGCTTGTTTCCTTCTAAGTTGTACATTACGGAGCGTTTGGAAACGGGAACCGATATTACTAACGGCGTGGTCTCTTTTGCAAAAATTACAAATTAGTCCGTCATTCATGAATTGTACTCGTTCTTTAGGTCATAAAAATCTAAGGTATATAATAGCAAAGTACAAAAACCTTAGAACGCTTCTACAACATAAGATTCCGTATTTACAGGCACATCATATTTCCTTTTTACAAATATTTGACTTGAAAATTCTCACTTGAATTTTCAAATGTGGAGCCTACTCGACTCAGCGTACGTGTGACTATAACTTTTGCCCCTCAAACACACGGAAAATCATGTCAATCCATTAATAAAGATCGTAATAGAAAAATTACTATCGTTTAATGAATCATTCGGGGAATATGTCTTTAAATGGTGATTTTCTTTCAACTTAATACTCTATGAAATAAAGTATAAGGTACTTATTCGCATGAATTTAAAGAATACACGTATAAGGTTTTTTTTCCATTAAATTCGTGTTAAAACGTCAAAGTATTATCCATTGAAAGTTATATTCCGGTTACCTCATATCCAGGTCCAAGATGAGACAAATAATCTTCTTTGAAAACAAGTTCATCTTGATTTGAAGAAGGCCCCATCTCAACATGGAAGGTACCGTTTATATACCTGAGAAAAGTATACCATTTTTTCATAAAACATGTTTAAACTCTTTAACAGGTCAAATAAAATAATTCAATATAGTTCATATTAAACTGTGACGGCAGGTCGTTACATAATACAAACTTTGCATACAATTTGATTTTAAAGTAAGTCTTTAAAGTCATTTTGTTTCTTGCGAACACATTTGTATCACGAATATTGTAGTTCATTAATAACTCACAATTCAAAAATTGACTTTTGTGTAACAGAAAAGAATATGTGAAAAATTTATGGCGTATTTCATTATTCGGGACGAATATGATGTAACTCCATGTATTGCTGTTCATTCTAAGTTTAATAAAATAAAGAAAACAAATTTACCATTTTGTAAGATACTTTACTCCAACATTCATGTCAAATTCACATCTATATTTCAGAAACGGAGTGTAGACTCTTTGTAATTTACCGTTTACTTCATTTTGTTGCATTTGATGACCAATTTCCGGTTTGACTTTAACATTGTTATAATGCACTGAAACGAGACTTTAAGGTTTTACAAGCCGAATCATCGCATGCTTTGGAATAAACTGTTGATTTATCCATATATATTGTATTTGATGATTTCACAATGGAAATTATCAAAATATAATTTCACACTTTCCGAAGATGAAACTACAGTTTTTGAATTTTCCCCATGTGGTTCCTCACATCTAGTTTCGCTCAGTATCATAAAAGCTATTACGACTGTAAAATATAAGTAAAACCTTCAAAATTGCATGTTTTCCAAATTCCTAGTCTTTTTTGGGGAATGTTTTACAAACCCGGGTTTCATAATTATTTTTTTGTTTGAAACAATTTTAAATTTTTTTTTCCAGAAAAACCCACCAACCCCAAAAAAATAAAAACATATTAAAACTTTTCCCGTTGCCCCAATTAAAAATTTTTCCAAAATTAAAGTTTTCTCTCATTTTTAAAGGGAAAAAATAATAACTTTTTAAACCGGCCCTTTGGAATTACTTTTTAAATACTCAAAAAATTGCTTGTTTTTTTTAAATTAAAGCAAACGGTCATTCTTTATTTTTGTTCAAAATGAACAATATCATCGCAGTCTACAAATAATTTTTTGACATCTGTTTGGGCTTTAGTCGTACAATTATCTATGACAAACTAGTCTGAAATTGAAGATACCAGTGCGGAAAGAGGCTTTAATATAAGTTTATATGGATAATAAAGTGATTTAAACTCGTTTTTAATCATATATTTAAGTGTTTTTGTTTGGCTACAGTGTTATTTGATTTTATCTCGTCAACTTTTAGAACAGTATTTTCTCTTGTACGCGAAAAATGCTGTTTTGGAAGCTCACTCGCTGTAATATACTTTCATCTAACACAAAAGCAAGCAAGTATCCTCAATGCATCCTTAATACAAAAACATTCGATGGTATGTTTTAAGCTTACAATTAACAACCAGTTAACACATACACATTTTAATACATGTTATGAAGAAGGCAAATACTGATATTCATTAGAAATTTGAAATAAAACTATATTTATCTTAAGTTTCTTAGATGATTCGTCTAGTATTTACATATAAACTTAATAAATTCTCAACATTTTTTTCTAAACACTCTTGTGTTATTTGCTATAACATGAGAGAATTGTTACCCTACCTAAACATAAACAATCAATGCAACCCCGTTCTGAAAAAGGCGATAAGTCAAACTGAAGCTTTCCATGACACATTCTGGCGTATATGTAGATTTCATCACAGTTGTTCAGCCAATAATCGTCATAATAATCGCCATCGTCATAATTATATTCCCAACACAATGCTATTCTTACTGGTGTATCACTATGTATATCTGGCATAGAATCTACAATAAAATTCAGAATTGTGTAAAAAAGAATTTATCTAATTAATTTTTACAATATATATGTGCTACACAATAATCAAATTACAAAGAGACATTTTGCTGATTATCTTTCATTGTATAATGCCGCGCGCATGTTACGGCGCTTTTCATTAGATGTTATGTGTTTTTACACTATATACATGTCTGGTGAGAAATGTTGAGGTCACACAGATGCTTATATTAAAAGTTTATTGAAAGGTTACATGACTCTATATAAACGGTTAATTGTAGATATAACCCGAGGCGCTAAGAGGGGTTATATTGCAAACAACCTTTTAAATGCGGTCATATAACCGGTCAGGAATATTTATATTTATGATACAGCAAGCATCTTTAGAGAAAAAGATAAGATGTCTTCATAAATTGTATGTACGTGCTAATATAAGTATACAAACGTCAAAATTATCCAATGAAAAGAACGTTACAGACGTGCAGTATTATAAAGGGCCTAATGACCAGTCATAGATAATAATATCTTATAATGTATATCAAGCCTCCGTGATCGAGTAGCTCAGATCCAAATTATTACTTCAAACAACCGCTTGTCCCTCAAGATTATGGGTTCCTGTGAGGGACTGTGCATTCCTTCTGTTGGGAAGCAATCAAATGAGTTTGCGAAAGGTCGGTGGTTGTACTGAAGACTGAACTAATTTACTAATAGGCACATATTGTCTTCCTAAAAAGCATTAAAATGACCTTTCGTTAAAGAAATATCAATTAAGAGTGTGCTTACAAATTAAGACACTGCTGATCTTAATTTCTCTGTTACAGAGAAGTAGAAAATGATAGAGAAAATATAGTACATGCATACCAATGGCCATGTTTAACATTCTTTATCATAAGATAAATTAAGAAATAAACATCAATATAAAATCAATGGAATAAAAAAAACTTGTCATAGATACATATTAAGAATGAATTTATTAATTTCTTATGTCTTAATCTTGCAATTACAATATTTATATTATTTATTTGTATCATTTTATTATACAATTATTATGAATCAGAATTATGTTCATTCACCTTGAAGAAAGTAACTATAATATTGATGATGCGAGCATTCGTCTCTATCATCTTTTAAAGGCGGTACAAACTGTTTTCCATTGATAAAAGCATTCACCCAGCCAATTTGAGCAACACCATAAGATAATTCAATAATTTCCTCATTCTCACTCTCAACTTTGTATACTGTGTCTGTATCGTCACAATCTGGTGAAGTTAGAAAAAATGTTATCGTAACTTAATATATTAATATACGATTACTTGACCAGTAGTTTCAAGAATGGAGTTCAAGTTTGAATACCTCGCGCAAATTAGAATATTATGCAAAATTTAAAAATGTGTTAGAATTTGAACCATATCTTAATAAAATTGTTAATGCTATTTCTAGAATCCAGTTAACTAGATTCCGTTTGTATTGCATAATCTTACAATTGAAACTGGTAGATTTAATAATTTAGAGAGAAATGAAAGATTGCGTTTATTTTGTAATCAGAAACAGATTGAATTTGAATATCATTTTTATAGATTTTTCCAAAATATAATAATATCAGAAAAGATTTACTTCCAAAATATTATCTTGGCCTACACTTAATAAATTTGTTGCATTAATGAATAATAATGATAAAACTATTCAAGTAAAATTAGAAACTTATATTAAAGAGGCATTTAAAGTAAGAACACTGGCTATTGAGCTAAATGAATTTGTACAGACAAACAGTGCTTAATTGTAAATTTATTTTCATTGTATTGTAATGTTTATATGTTATGTGTTTGATTAATCATATGCATTTGAATTATTATTGTACATTGATACGTTATTTTGTCTTGGCCATATTCTATAATTATTTACTTGAAAATGGCCAAAGGCATATTTATGCCGATTGCTAAATAAAGATTGATATATTCTCAAATTTATATATGAGTATATATATTGTAAGTAAGCAATATTTTGCCTTAATTACATCATAAGTTTTAACTGACAACGTAAGATATAGTAGTAAAGCAACGAAAACTGATTTTTACTTCTTAAGTAAGTAATAACAACCTTAAATAGCATTAGCATACATAACTGATATTCTTTACTTACTACTATTGCTGTATATGCGATCTGAAAAATAAAAACATTTCTCGTTATTGCTATGCCAGTCTTACCTATATATATGACAGCAAAAACAAACAACAACAAAACACACACACAAAACAACAAAAACAAAACGAAATGCCATATGTGTTAATATCAGGGACCATCAGAATATGTTTGTGTTTCTTTAACATATGATGAGATTACATAAAAAGTTAATTTTATTTAGAATTTCGTTTGGTTTAGTTCAATATACTCATCTCCCGTCCCGGCAGAGTAAGCAGTCATCTAACTAAATCATCTTAAGTGTTTGTATAGACTGTTTTAATGATGCATTCTGGTCATTCGTCTATTGCAAAACGCAGGTAAACATCTAATCATACATTCAAACAGTAAACCTTTAATAAGTATATTTAGTTTGGTGTTACAGTTCATTCAAATCTAAAACTGTTTTCTTATTTATAAATCTCAAAAGTAGAAAACTTGCATTGTTGTTTAATTATATATAGACACGCAATGCCAAGTACTAGTATAATACTTTAACAAGTAGCTATTTCCTACTTAGAGAAACAACGTACATGTTTAACAAAAACTTTGACACTTGTTGTTGTAAACCTTTTATACAAATATAAATTACCTTTTTCGTGACACCTTGTTTTCTGTAAATGTTTTATCAATATGTTACGTTCTTACCTTTTTAAATCTCGTCCTATGTTTGTATATTATAAAAGTTAAGCATATCGAAGCGATACTTACCTCTTAAAATATCAATATTTTTACCTCTTAAAATATCAATATTTTTAAATTTCTTAATAAGTTTTCAATCAGTATTAAACGTTTGCTTACCAAAACAAATATAAAAGTCCCAAATGTTGAAACCATTGAAATTTTGATTGTGAAATCTATACAGTAGGTCACCATGACATTTTCTCATTTCAACTACACCGTCTTCTTCGCAGACACCATTTTCATTCAAAACACAGAATGGTAATGTAATAATGTCGTCACTTATAGTCGATATGTCTGGATGTTTATCTGTTGAAAGAAATAAGGTTACAACATAAAGCAAATTCATATTTCCTTCTTTAATATAAAAAACAATGTATACAATGTTTTGAAAGCTTCACATATGCATATCTCAATGAATTGTCAAGGTAAGTAAAATGTTCCAGAACGAATATAAAAAAGGCTCAAAGTCAGCTCTTTTACAAAATATAAAAGACGCGGGAAGCAGACCCCGCAAGGGCTGTAACCCTCTTATTTTACATGTAGGACGTAAAAAAAGATAAATCAAAATCAATGACAAAATATATGTCAAATTGGACAAGTTTGGGAAAAAAAACCTAAGTTGACGCTTTTGAACAAAATAGATAAAAACGACTAAACAAATCAGACTGTTGCTAGAAGAAGCTACGGTCTTGTATCATAAATAACACTTCTGTTTGTAGTTTGATGTAGAAAATCAAAATAAAATATCATTATCTTTGATAAGTACTAATAAGGAATCGATTATAACATATAAAATACTGTTTAGAATTTCAATTGCATAATTTATGGTAGAATAAGGTACAAACAACAACGTTGATTAGAGATTAACAAAAATGATACCATATTTGAACCTCTCGGAACAATTTGCTGATAGGGTGAACGCAACCATTGCATTCATATAGACAGAACGGTACTACATTTACTAGGTCCTGGTTTCATATATTGACAATTGTGTGATTGCCATTTAATCAAGACAGCTTTCTGCGTCATAGGTAGCATCTTTCTTTTATTTTACATTTTACAACAATAACCATATTTATTAAACCTATTGACGGCTGCACACTTTTTACAACACATTATTATAAGAACACACTTACAAAGAACAACTGCAGACTGTCTACCACACAATAACAAACTTATTCATTAAAAATATGTAACTTTCAAAATACGGCCATTAGTGTTTTATATGATATCAACAAATGAGATACTGCCCATCGGAGAATTTCTTTGCTTAAAATCCAATTTCGGTTTTAATCATTCCATTTCGGAAAAAGAGTATCATGAAACGGGAACCTACCCGAATTTGATCTGTTTACACTTAATGTTATGAATAAGTTATATGTGATTAATTTATATAATTACTTTCATTCATACAGTTATTTTATAAACAATATAAGAATGTTGCTTTACTAGTAGTCTACATTGTTTAAAGCTAACACACTGTAGAAAAGGGTAATAACAGTATACTTGAATTAGTCACACATTCTACGAACTTAATATCAGATTTATGAAACGATCGTGAACGTGCTAAAATACCCATTTCGGGAAAAAAACAATTTCGGGATTGATAGTGATCGGCAAGGGGTTCCGAATGTAAATTTGAAAGGGAACCATAATGAGACAGGAAATCAGAATACCTGATTTCCGGTGTGCTTCGATAAATAATAGTGGTACTGAATGATTTTCGGCGTGCTACAAAAACAATAGGACAGTGAACCAAAATATCCTCAAACGAGGAGGAGGCAAACTTATTACCCATTATTTAAGTGTACTTCCGGCAAAAGTTTTCAAAACCTTGACTTTTGAAATAACTCGCGTTACCGTAATTTTCATATTGAGCTCATTATAAGAATCTTACTCCGGTTAACTTTCTACGGAGGTAACGAGACTCTGCCGAGCTAGATATTCCCGTCTGGGAAGAGAGCCTGTGTTGAATTCTATTTCTAGCGTACAACTTATTTATTTTATTTCGAAAAGAAATTACGAAAACATATATTTTCTTCAGGCACTTATTTCTAATAGTAGGGTTAAAATTTTACCACGGCAAAATCATGTAACCTTAAGAACGAATTTATGCATTTTAATGTGAAAGGATACGATGGACGTATAAAAGGTTTTCTAGGTTAGTTAGTAGATTATTCTTTCTAAATGCAAGGAACTGTCTGTAACTAACTGCAAATGCACATCCGCGAAATTTATAGAAAACAAGTGGAAAATCCAATCATTCTTTTACGTGCTGTTCAGCTTGATAAAGACGTAAATACATATAGGGTAAAATCTTTTACTTATATCTCTTGATTCCTGCTCAAACTCTCACCCAGGCAACAAAATAAGGCCTAAGCATTGGTTCATCCAAATAACATGACATGATCATTGTAACATTATATGCTATAGTGACAACAAGAAAAGTAATGTGTATATAAAAAGTTCATGTTTAATTGTTTATCGAATACAAAATTTAATGTTGTTGTTTTGTTTTTAATTATCGACAAACCTTTGAGAGCAATTAAGTTTCCCCAGTCATGTTGACATTCAGTTCCTATATTTTCCTTTGAAGGTATTTGAACGTGTCCACCCCAGAAGGTCATGTTATACCACCAAATGTCGTCATTCCATACACGCCAATTATAGTAGTAACCTATTTCGTAATTTCCATAAACACTGACGTCATTACAATTAGTGATATCTAGAAAAGATGCGTGTATATTGTTGAGAAAAAAAAATGTTAAATTTCTTACAATAACAGTTATTTCTGAAAGTTAAAATGAGTTGATTATAAACATTATCAATAAATGTATTGAAATAAGTCTTTACAGAATTACGCATAAGAACATTTAATAACAAAGGAAAAACAATGTTTCGCTTTTAATTTTTCTAAAAGTGATCTCATTATCAATGCTTTACAGGCATTGATAATGAGATCACTTTTAGAAAAATTAAAAGCGAAACATTGTCTTTCCTTTGTTATTAAATGTTCTTATGCGTAATTCTTTTCTCAAGATCAATCCCGATGACATTTAAATACGCACACGATAAATGATCCCTTTGAAAATCAATAAAAGAATACTTTTCAAATACAAATATATAATGAAAAGGTGATATTTTATTTCATTGTACTTCACATTGCTGAGCAGATCTAATGTTATTAATCGAAACGTCTTTTTACTTAATGATAGAAAATGTTTCAGAAGATTGTTATTTAACTGAATAAGGCAAATTGACTCAGATAGTGTTTATTTTTGCGCAAACACTACTTAAATAAAACACATTAAACTTTACGGTTGAGATGTCATCAAGCAGCAATAGAATAGTCTACCAGAATGTAAACTTTGACAATTAGCAATAACAATTAATATTCCTCTAACACTTACAAATGTTAACATTTTTGGTCATAAACGTTTTCAGAAAAAATGAAAGAAATTATTTGTTCAGTAACAATTCTAATAATGCATAAACTGCTTTCTTGCTTATTTCTACGGCTGATTTGCCGAAAATTGGAATAGTTATGTGTGTATGAAATGACTTTTTTTGCTTTTGATTTTGTAAGACGTTGCACTTATTCTCTTTCAATATCAATAATTTCTGTCAGTAATGCATTTTAGTGAGAATGTCGAGTTATTTAAACAACTAAACGTTAAGCGTCTATTCAAAATTCACGGATACTAAGAGAAGTCTTCCCCTGGTTTAAGTTTGTAATTAAAATATTGTCGGTAACTTTTTTTTATCTTTTTACAACATCCTTACGTTTAAAATTTAATTAGGAGTGATAAAACATAAATAGGTAATAAACAGTTTCCGTTGTTTTTTCTTACAAATTGGGATGACCGTTTTAATCGGTTCTCTTTTGATTCCAAATAGGTCCCTATTATATTGTATATAAATGTTTGTTTTTCGTAACGTTGGAAAAAAATAGTGTATCAATCATTTTATCAATAATTGATTCAATTCGTTATTAAATTTATAAAACTGGGATAATTTTTGATGAAACATATAAAGAGATATTTAAACGCACATACCTGCAGAAGATATTGCCCAAAGTAAACTTATTACAAAAATCCCTGGCCAAGCTAAAGATCCATCCATTTTGATTGCTACCTTAGATTTTCAACTAACTGCTAAAGTATCAAAGTAATGTAAAAATGTTCAGCCGCTAAAACGCAAAAAGATTTGGCTTATTTTCAAAATTCTTTTGAATTCTTTTCTATTTTTTACGTTATAATTGGATATTGATTAATGTCACATTAAAAAGACCCCGAATATTATCGTGGGTATATTTATTGACATAGCACACATTACATTTTGAATAAGTTCGTTTTTCATTATTGTATTAAACTTTGTATGCTTGAAATATCATTTGTATATGGACGTCGAGTAGTGCCATTTTTATAAGAAGTAATTAAACTTGTTTATGAGTTGAACTTTTAAAACAAAATACATCTGCTTTTGAGAGGCAATATGAATGACCCCTTATAGTTCGATCTTTATCCTTATCCATCTAAAGTGGCTTCTTCCAGTATTGCCATTTTTTACAAAGCAAGTTGTTTTAATATAATTTATATTGTTCTTAACTTCTGACATCTTCTAATAAAAGTTCTGATTCAAATAATAATAGTTCCTTACCCAAAGTAGTCCCGTTCGTTTGTCGTTATCATTGTGTTTATATGAATAAGGTCGTAGTGTACGTTACAAACATTTGTTGTCCGAAATGTTTATTTTTGTAAAACAATTTCTGTAAGTTATTCATAGAAGCATGTTCTGTTTTTATTAGTGGATGAAAAAGAAAAGAATAGAATAAGAGTTACGTTACTATGTTTTATTGTTGGCCACATAAATCTTTTGAATTTAAGCGAGTTGTTAAAATAACAAGAAACAAAATGCAGTGTGAAAAATGTAAGTCATCTAAAGGTCGTATGTCAAGGATAATTTCGTTAACTATTGAAATATCAGTTTGACGAAAAAAGTAGGGCACGTGTTCGAAGCATGTTTCTTTTTTCAGTATCTAATATATAAATGTGGATATTATATAAAATTGTTTGAAAGTGTCTTGTTAAAGGTTGATATACTTTAGATTATTAACAATGTCATTGAACTATTTCTATGGGTGTAATTATCAGGACTTTGGGCCTGATAATTACACTCGTTATATTTTTTATCTATATCAAGAAGACACTTAATGATACCGAGTTTGTAATTTGTATTGCTTTGTTTGCATTGCTATCGAAGGATCCCCCTTTTCAGGAGTTTTGATATTTTTGATCTAATTAACATGTAGTATGTAAACAATATATAAAACAGCTTATAAATTGTCGTTCAACAAATACAATTATGAATTTGCAGAAAATAACGGATTTAATAGAAAGAATACATGAACCAGTTTTTAAGATGAGATCCACACAAGGAATCGAACTTCTTTTTTTGTATATATATATAACGTTAAAAGTGTTAGTGTATGACATAGTCAACAATAATTAAAATTATGTAAATATTGACTTTGGTGAACCGAATATCTTCATTCTGGTGTTTGAACTTCATTATGGTCCAGATTTACATGTATCAATTTCTTAATACTTCATGGCAGTTTTATGACAGCCTTTTACATATAACAGTTAGAAGTGGTTACCTGAAATATTTCTCTGTGTTTTATTGTAAAAATGTAATATATCTCAGTGTTATATTATAAAAGCGTTATATTACTTTGTGTTATATTGTTACAGTAATAATGTAATGTTTCTCTTTGTAATACTGTGAAAATGTTATATTTCTCAGTGTCAGATTGTAATAATGTAATATTTCTCTTTGTGATACTGTAAAAATGTTATATTTCTCAGTGTCAGATTGTAATAATGTAATATTTCTCTTTGTAATACTGTAAAAATGTTATATTTCTCAGTGTCAGATTGTAATAATGTAATATTTCTCTTTGTGATACTGTAAAAATGTTATATTTCTCAGTGTCAGATTGTAATAATGTAATATTTCTCTTTGTGATACTGTAAAAATGTTATATTTCTCAGTGTCAGATTGTAATAATGTAATATTTCTCTTTGTAATACTGTAAAAATGTTATATTTCTCAGTGTCAGATTGTAATAATGTAATATTTCTCTTTGTGTTATATCGTAAATATGTAATATTTCTCTGTTAGAAGTGGTTACCTTAAATTATGAATGTGTAATATGTAAATTTGTGTCAATGTATTATTTTGTGTTTAATATTATAATAGTTTAACCTTCCTCTGTGTTATATTGTAATAATAAATTCTATCTTTGTGTATTATTGTAATTATGTTATCCTTCTCAGTGTAATTTTTAATAATGTATTTTTTCTCTGTGTTATATTATAATAATGTTATATTTCTCTATGTTATATTGTAATAATGTAATCTTTCCCTGTGTTATATTGTAAAAGTGTTATATTACTCTGTGTTATATTGTAATAATGAAATATTTCTCTGTGTAATATTGTAATAATGTAATACGTTTTTGTTTCATATTGTAAAAACCTATTATTTTCTGTGTTATATTGTAAAAATGTAATATTATTATGTGTTATATTGTAATAATATAAAATTTCTCTGTGCAATAGACATTTGAAAGACCTTGTGTAGTATTTGTAGAATAATAACATTTTTAGGTAATTAGTCATATATATTTTATTTATTTTATTTAAATAAACGACGCACACGGTTTAGAGCGAGGTATTTTATTTCATAAAAGAAAAATTAAACATGATATAGATTTATTTATGTAAACTGGCAACTTGCGATTATATAAATGGAAATGCACATTGGTTGGTTAATTTGTTAATATGATTAATTACAGTTTCTATTTCTAACTCCAAGTACTCACATTGTTAAGTGGCAAGTGTTGACATATGATATAGAAGCCGGACAGCCTGGTTTATAGGAGGAGAATTGTGTTAAGCTAAGCGTACGAGAAGGCTTGACTCGGATTGTAGTTAGTTAATAATATACACATGTAGAAATCACAAAGTCTGCTGTTCATTTATCTACTATACGATATGACTGTTTTGGCGCCTAAGACACAGAAAATTAAAAATGAGTGATCGTTTATTTAACTGTAAATTGGGAATTTCGAAAATGTCAAAATAGTTACAAATTTTGAATTTTTATCGAATAAATTGGAAAATATTTCAGCTGTTATAGGTAGATAGGATTTATAAGAAAAAGTATTCAATTCTGTAGGAAATTTTAAATATTTCAATGATTTGAAAACATGTATAGACAATATGCTGTTTTAACTTTAAGATGATGTAACATTTCAAGCTAGTAAAGGGACTGTTAGGGATTTTATAAGTAGATATTTTGCATGATAATCCTAGTAATTCTTAGGCATAGTTAACGTTAAAGGAAAAACTAAGTAATAGATCTGGAGAAATTAAAGAATTACAACATGCATTTTGTCTTTTGACAATTTAAAACAAGATTAAGAAGAAAATGTCCATATTTTTGTTGAAAAAATTAACCGTGCTGAGATTGCTTATGAAAATTATAAACAAAGAAATAATAATTTCATTAAACAACAACTAATTCAATATTTTATAGCGGGTTAAACTCATGATTATTTGAAACTCAATGTCATGGAAAAAATACTTGCGCTTCGAATGTACACAATTTCATGGCTACAATTTCTGTTTGAGTAGGAAAATGCCTAATTATAATAATAAAGCAAATTGTTGTAATTATGAAGCAAAGAATTTTTTACCATAATTATTTAAATAAACAAGTAAATCAAAAGAAAGAGAGAACACACGTCAAACATCAAGATGATTGTAAACTAGATTATTCAAGGATCTACTGGTTTCGGCCTTTCTAGACCTTCATCAGGATACATTTTTGATGATGCATGATAACTGAAGTACTATTATTATTTGAGCAAGGAATTTTTGAGTTTATAGTAAAAAGTCAGGTCATAGTGTGCGAAATTGTAGAAATAGGAATAATGAATTACATTCTGTATTTAACCGTTATTATTTTGGACATATAATGCGACAATGCCGTAATAGAAATTATTATTAGAGACACAAATAAATTTTCAGGTAAAAAAACAAGTTTCTGCTATAAGGCGGTCCCTCACAGAATCGATAAAATAACACAATTTAGAAAAGCATAAGCGAGTTGTCCAAATAAAAATCAAAACTATGCAGATCTTTGGTTGATTCGGGTTCTGACATTTGTCTTCTGCATCGCAGAATACATATATAAAAATAAAAAAATTCTCCTAAACTTATAAATTAAAAAATAAAATTATATTCAGTTGATGGAAATATTTCACATATAGACGGTTATATAAATCTAAATTTTCAAATAGCGAAAAAAGAAACCAATTAATTTTTTATATTGTTTTTTACAAATGAATAGAAAATTTATTCCAGGACGTGATTAATCAACACAAATTGAGATTAAGCACCAATGCAGAACAAAAGAATTCAGCTTTGGGCCTTAAATATTTCTGCCTATATCTGCAAATTAAAGATTTTCCTGGTAAATTAAATTTTATCGCTGATTCTTTTATAGACCTCCATCTGATGATAAAAATGATAACAAGGCTTCTACCAATCTAAAACTTCATGTGACAGGGAATGGGAGAGAGTTCTATGTCCGTTGACGAGTGTTTCAGGTCGTTGACCTTAAATCATTTGTTCCAAACTGCGTTGGTTCGAATACTGTCAAGGGCATTGATATCTCAATACCAGCTTACACGGTGATGCTGCTCAGGTGCTTGAAATAAAACAACATTCAGACATTTGAAGTCTTCATTACCAGTAAGTTTAGTCTGAAAGTCACGGTATGACGTTTGTCGGCCAGATTTGGAATCAATCAAAAAACAAACAAACAAACAAACAAACAAACAAACACAGCATATCAATACGTCCACAATAAACAATAATCATTGCGTCAATCATAAACCATATAATCACGTCCATTCATCCATTCCTTGTAAATGCGATAAACAACAATGGAGACTGAACAGAAATATTCTTCTAAAACTGGCATTTCTAATTTACAGCTAAAACGTTTTATAACTAATATGACAACGTTATTCGAGAGAAGATTTACTAAGATGTTTTGGGTAGACAATTTTAATGTGTATTCCTTTAAATATATAATAAATTTCATTACATATTCCTGCTCCAATGTTTTATACCATTTTCATAAAATATATGTAAATACTAGCACGTGGAATTGGAATAATGTGGTGAATACCAATTCGAAAAATCTGTTATATTTTACAAGACTTAATAATTTTCCATTAGTGAAAATGATTTGTATGGTTTGACAGTATTGTTTAGATGCTATGTTTTATATAATATATTCAAACCAACGAGGCTAGAAGACAACGATATAATATCTTGACATAAAATTATTTATCTTACTCTATGAATATTGATGTATTTTAGTTTGTCGACTTAAAGGGACTCCCCTGAGTTCTTTTGACATAAGAGGGCTTGATTTTATGAAAAAATGATGTTTCATTAGATGTTGTTCTAGACCAATAACTTGTGTGCAAAATTTCAGACCATAAGCTTACTCCGTTTTTCCAGGTCAATTATCATAATTGTAAAAATTGACCCAAAATTGAAAACGTTTCAGCTTGTAACAACAGTACTTTTTTCATCAGGTGATGGGTACGTAATGTGACCTGAATCCCATGTTTGAGTGTTCAAAAGCTCGTTTCTAAGGCGTTTTATGTTAAATGTCACCTTACATTTTCTTATAAATATTTTTATGCTTTTTTCTTATCTTGCATGCTTTAAATTAAAAACTACATAATCATGATTATATTTCCGATTTAGCATTTGTAAAGAGATAAAACTTTTGAGTAAAGACTCTCTTTTATTTAAGACCATTATTAAAGATATAGTCTAAATAGAACCATTTTGTCTAAATCAAAATGAAATAATAAAGCTGATTATAAGAGCTTTATAAATCATCACAGAGTTGTATTTTCATTTAAATGTATTCTTTTTCTTGCAACAAAAAGGTGCCAACGTACTAGTCCAGTACAAAACTGTAAACAGTGGCATAAGCGGACATACAAGTGTGCCAACATCTATTGAAAATACAGACACATCACTGAACCTTAAAGAAAAAACAGTCATTTACCATCCAGTGACATGGCAATAACAACTCGACACACAGAAAAAGTCCGGTAAATGATTTAATAACTAGTGATACTCTATATATTCTGTGATTATTTTAACTTTTTACTTAAGTATCTATGATATCTTCATTTATTGTTTTTAATTCAATATTAACCTGTAGATATTTCACAATTATAACAGGATATAACGATTTATATGATGAGAAGACATTTAAAACTCGTCATTTTTATAACATTTATAATCTAAAATATTAAAATTAAAATTGATTTACAGTTTCATTCATTACCATATCAATGCATGAATAATTCATGCAGTCATACATAACAGTCATTGCGATAGTGACGCACGTAATTTAAATTCCTTATACTTAGATCGATTTATATATTAATATACCTTCTTGATTAGTAAGGATCGTTTTAAAACTCAAAACGTTTTATTTCTTTTTTAGTCAGTTAAGAAGTATTTACAACACCAGCTATAATCAGAACATCTATAGTAAATTTTAAGATTTATACATCTATGGGTATTTTTGCAAATATTGTTTGGCTATATCGCAGTGATGAGCATCTAACATGCCCTTAAAGCATGATTTAAACAATATAAAAATTATATTTTCCCATTCTTTAGATAGAACGATTTATTTGTTTCTGAGGCAAAATATGCCTTTATTCAGATCGTTTGTGGCAAGAGAAATGATACACGTGGAAATGTAGATGTCGTAAGTACTTCACGCACAAATATGCCTTCAATTTTAAATGCTTATTCTGCCTCAGAAATAATTTTATTTCTATTTCTCATTAGCTTTATATATATATAATTATTATATAAATAAAAAATTTTATTTTTGAAATCCGGATATTGTTTCCAAAAATTAACTTATAGACCAAAAAGTTGAACCATCTTTTGTTTCTGTTGGTCTTTGATAATAAGTACGGTTATGGTGTATAAGCATTTTGTATGGAAGCTAAAATACTGCTTTGTTAACGTTTTGCCTCTTTTCTGACAAATAATTTAACATTTCACATACTTTCGCAAGGTGATAAGCATCTAACATGTTTATAAACCATTATTCAAACGTTATTAAACTCATGCTTGGCCTTCTTAATGAAGGAAAATGTATTCGTTTCTGATAACCATTTTAACTTCAGAAAAACTTCTTTACAACAAAAACTCGTGGTTACTGAAGCTGTATACTACAATGAAGGACCCATTAATGGTGAATGCAGAGACGGTGGCAAAGGTGAAAACGAGAATTATATCTCAATATAAGGTTGACAATCTATACATAAATGCGTCAAGTGCACCAGGACACGATAAAATTAATGTAGAGAACATAGACAATGCTTAAATGAAAATATGAAAGATTCACATATAGCTTGGGCAAACAAATTGAACAAACCAGTGCAAGGAAAAGAGACAAAAATAATACTAGAGAACACACTAATCATGATACCCATTATAATGTTCAAGGAACTACAGAGGAAGAACACACCATTTCAGAGTTAACTTGCACTGGTGGAGACAAGCATGCATATTACAATTTTATCAGATAAATACGATTTGTCAGTTATCTTTGACTTGAACTTTGATAATGCTAATACTGATTTCTCGCTTTTTAAACCGCTACCGGTATACTTTTCAAAATGATAACATGAGGATGGCTTATTCCAACATTAGTTATTCAACGGAAATGAAGAAATATCTAAAATAATACAACAAATAACAAGAAACGAACAAAGATATTGTATGACTTGGAATTTTAATGGGAACATGACAACATAGTTTAATTTACAAAAAAACTTCTGAAATTGCAAAGTACAAAGTTGACTTTGTTTATAAGATGCAACAGCAAATGCAACATTTATTTGGCCGGTATTGTTTCCTTATGGTGTATTTTTTTCCGGATTCATCAGATTTCGACTAATCATCAATTTGTTCGTGCAGGAAGAAATATTCAGATGCCTTGGTATACCGTCAAAGAAATGATGAGGAATAAACTTTTGTTAAGGCTGAAGTTACACTTTGCATCATCCATCAACACACAGTATGAAACTTAATATCATAAACATTGAAAATAAGACTAAAAGTGACTTAATACCAACTATTAAGTTTTTGTTTGGACAATTAATCTTAGCATGTATGCTTAAAAAAACAATATTGCTCTCTGGCATTCCTACCACTTTCCTTTTGCTTCCTTAATTAAATCATCGTGCCATACTGGTGGTATGGGTTTTTTAGCTACAATCATTGTTACTTATGTTGTTTTTTTTAATAACAGTGCATGGTTTATTTAATCTAGTTTTGCTTTAAGAGATAAAAAAATACTGCCAACATATCTATATGAAACAAATTTCTTCTGATGCTTTGGGCTTTATTGTCACAATAAGAAAACATAAGAATGAGAGTTGTTTTCATTTTTATATTGAAAGCTTGAGAAAAAGAAGATCTTTATCATTTTGGCTCGGCCTGCAAGTTTACAACATTTTGGAAAAAATCAACAGCTCTTTACAAAATAAATCCGATTTAACTGTGTTGCCATACTAACGACAACTAACTAAGCCTATATAAATTGACCTGTATTTAGTACATTTTTTCAGCTGAAATCAACATGTAGTATAATTTAGGAAATAAGCCAGTAACTTCAAAGTAAGGATACTACGTCATCGTGCACCTGCAAAATACTCCCAATCGGACTGTTCTTTCGTGTAAACATCCTGTCGATTCGAAGGTAAAATATGTTTTTATTTTAAGATATCGTTGAATATCAACAATTAATATAGCGCGTAAATAATTGGCTTTGGTACTACATATTATTTAAAAAAAAAACGTTTGAAGTACTGCCTAGTTTAGTCCTGAAAACGGGATAAAGTCGTTTGTTTCCCGGACTCCTAAACAAAATAAAGCCCGTTTTCAGGTTTAAATGTCATTATTACTCAGCAATATCAAAAGTAAACACAAACATGAAACACGATCTAAACATTTTAATTTTTGAATGGGTAAATGGAATCTGTTATAATGTAACGGTTACATGTGTAATATTATAATCTAAGCTAACGAGGCTATATTTAACAATAAATGTACAAAAAGTAATAGGTTATATGTTATTTTAAGTTTTTAAACACATAATCAGTATAATATACTGTGCAAAAGATGTTAGCATATACAACAATGTCTGTTAATATACTATTATTAGATATAATAAACATAACACAAATAAATTCATGAAATAGTTTCCTGTTAAGTCAGAGTACGCCTAAGGATATTTAAAAATAGAATTGTAATCTAGCTGTATCATTAAAGTCTCTGTTTGCCTTTTGTCACTCAGATTCTTGACAAAATTAGAATTTAGAATTGTCCGTGCATGATAAAAACTAAATTGTTGTTTTTATAACTATGTTTCAAAGATAATATGTTCTGTTTTTCTATATTAATTTTATTTTATAAAAATGCACGTTTAGTTTGCTTTTGCTTTTGCAATTTCAGAAAACTTGTTATTCTAAGACATAAACTAAGAGCTATATCAATGTTTTAATTAATTGCTCAGGATTTTTATTTTGCCATGACAAGACCTTTCAATTTTCATCTGTTATTTGTAGGATCGGAAGAACTTTATCATAGAGAACATTTAAAAATGAGATTAACTGTTATGATATATAATCAACAAACAACGACGACACATTAAAATATCCACCTGTTTAAAATCTCCAACTGTTCAATTCTTCACAGCATCTGTTCATATTTTTTTAACTCACAGTTTGTGTTTGTTATACATAAACGATGTATTCCCGGGTTCGGGAAGATATCGTATGCTTGATACTTTCGTTCGAAGACATACGTTGGAGTCTTGAACTTGCCTACAATGAAATAGTAAAAATTTAAATAAAAATTCAATTTAAAGGCCAGTATTACACGGAAACAGCAACATTTTAAACATTAAAAGGCAATTACGTACTGACCTCAAAGGAGATATTTAAATAAGAAAGGATTTATTATCAAAACATGTAATTACCGTTTCTTATATGACCCTTTGCAACACACGAAGTAACAAAGAAGAACTGAGGCAACAACAAGAACAGCACATCCAATAGTGATTCCTATAATCATTCCTATAGTCATTTGTGAATCTCCCTCTACACAGGTACCTGAAATATCAATCAATCAATCAATGCTTAATATTTTTTTCTGTCATGATTAATCAATTGGTATGAAATACAATTATCTCTTTTCCAATTATTAATGAGAAGTTACCAGTCGTCCATCTGTAAAGGTTTGAATCCGGGTCACAAAGTAAACAAGCAACCGGTGACAAAATGTACCGTACTACACACATTCCGTCGATAAAGCAATAGCCATCCTATTGGAGAAATAAAATAAAATTTTACCACAAGAAAACGTCAAGTTGAAGCTATTGAAACAGTAAAGTACTGCAGACTAGAATCTGTAGTGTTTGCTCAAGTGTAAGTGCAATCATTATTAAACTGCTTTATATTTGATGCTCATATGGTCTAACACGCAGAGGTTAAGTAAGTTATGGATAGTATAAACTGACATGACAAAGGCAAAATATATTGTTGATTTCAAATTAAGATTTTGTTGACTATAAAATAATTAGGCTTGTTTTTACTGAAATGAGGATCTCTTGAATACTGACAAGATAAAACACAATTCTCAATATATCTAAAAACATAGAAACAAAAACATCACCCTCAATTCTATCATGATATTCCCTTGACTTGTATTCTTTGTCAAGCATGTAGTATCATAGACAAGGACGGTGTTGATTTCACCATAGGCCACACCATCATTGCTGACAGAAATGTCATACGAGATAACAAAGGGACCATCATCGTTGATTCCTTCAGATCGCCTTTTTCTACTGTCAGTTGCGCAACATTCGCCAGTGAAAATATCCTCATAGTAACCAGTATGAATAGATTGTTCCATCTTAACTCGAGTACCATTGAGATATACCTTTATATATAATGAAAAAAGTTTAATAATCTGGTGAGACCATACATTAAATCCTGTGTGTAGTCTTTTTATGATTTAATGAACAACAATATTCTTTCAAAGCTCCATTTGCAAAAGACGCTCTGTTGTTATATGTTATTAAATGATCAATAATATTTAAAAATCTATCAGGTTATTTATTCACCTGTGATAAAAGCGTTGAAAAGAAAAGAAAACAAACCCTATGTTTACTTATGTCACACATAAAACCATCAAACATGTTGTCAGATCTGATTTCGAAGCAAGTACAGTCATCCTCTTCTGTGATTTCACAGATTCCGTTTCCTTCTATACCATACACTACAGGAGGTATTCTTATGTCATCACTACAATCTGGTCCACAGAATGTTCCATGGCATTCACACACTCCTAAAGCATAGATAAAACAACTAATATGAACACATTGTACTTCGAAAAATAAATATATAAACCCTATCTTTAGGAATATAATCACCAAATTGTTTAGATTAGAAAATATATATACTTAATAAATAAATATTCACGATGCATCAATTAAATAATCTCCCATCTCTCTTTATGGTTAAAGTTTAAAACAAGGACAGAAAATGAAGTCTTACACAAAGGAAATAAATGATGAAATGTTATACATGAAAATATCAATTAAACGTAAATGCTAAATTAAATGTATGTTTTAAATAGTCTCTTTAATGTATTGTTAAACATGCAATGAATAAAAACTGTCCGAAATTGTTCATGCTCTATATAATTAACTAAACTTTTATGAAATATGATAGTGTAAGTAATCAATTGATATTTAGCTTTTCATGTAACTAATTTGAAATCTTTGGCGAAAAATTCATTTTTTACCTGTCTCAAGGCATTCACCATTTCCACTACAATTGTTCAAACAAATTTGCAAACGAAAGGTGTTAACCTTGTCTGTATTATTTGCAACAAATACAGGATTGAGGTTTAGAACAGTATCTGCAACATTGTTTACATTAGTGACATGTGCATCTACCCAGCCCGTGTCGTTCCCATGCTGAAATGTATTAATACATATCTTGTTTTGCATTGTTCGCAATGTAATTACGGTTTTGTATGTATCATAGTTAATTGTTCAGTTGAATTACCTTGTAATGAAAGAAGACATTTAATTTTTTTCATGTAATGCTGGTTTAGTATGACTGCAATGAATTAAAATATTACTTCTGTAAACTCCTGTATTAAATTGAAGCAAAAGCAAATACTGCTGTAAGCAACTCACAGTCAAATCATAAACACACTGTTCAACAATTATGTCTGGGTCTTCTTCAGCAAGGTAGTCTGGAAACTCCATAACTGCTGGAGTATTGTAAATGGAGCTGTTACACAGTGCAAATGCTTCTTCTTCTGTGAAACTGTCTGTGCTCCTCTGGTAAATGTTTACAAGACAAAGATAAGAAGAATAATTGATATGATGAAAGCAGTTTAATATTTTTGTACAGTTTTTGTAACGAGTAATAAGATGAAAAGCGGTAAGAACTAGAAAGTAATGCCTTAAGAACGCGCAAAATAGTACAATTGTATATATTTCAGGTACTTGTGATTGGGCCTAGTCATGGACGGCAGTAGTAAATAAGTCCACTTTCTATGCCTCTTATAGCACAGGACTCAGCAGATGATAGACTACAATGTGTTTTGAATTCATAAAACGAACGACAATTTATCAAATTTGTATGATCATGTTAAGCTAAAAATAATTTAGGACTTACTCTTTCTCGGGATACAGACGTTCGGCTCCTAAGTTTGTGTTGTACGGAAATTTGAGTTGCTCGTCTTTTTCTACGATTAATCTTACATTTCCTCTTTGTTATAGAATTTGGTCTGTTACAAGGCTGGTTTGCTTTCCCGTTCATGTGTGTGTTCCACGGTGTCAGCAAGCGTGCATCATTTTTAAACAAGTTTTCTTCGTCCGACAATCTGATGCATTAAATAGATCAGAGTTCGTAGATAAGAAAGTAGAGAAAAAACGAAATCCCTCAAGCACACAAAAAACGGCTGATGGAAATTTTGAAAAAGTTGAAAATGTTGCCGGCCCGGTTTGCTTACGCGAACAAAATTTGTAATGTTATCAGTTTTGTTCGTGCTCCCCAACCAAGAACTAGTAAATTAACAAAATTCAAGGTTCGCAAAAATGTTTAAGCAATACATCAAGGAATCTATCCATATTAAAACACTAATGTAGTATAAACTAAGACTATAAGCTCAAACAATATTGTTTCAGTATATATTGCTTCACATGCACCAGCTTGAATGCATCTTTATTATACGGTTATTGACTAGTGAGCTATTGAATATGATGTGATATTCTTTGGCAGATGACATATTGACCGAGGCGATAGCAGAGGTCAATATGACTTTCTGCCGGTGAATATCACATCATATTCAATGGCTTACTAGTCAATAATTGTTTAATTATATGAATAGGCTAAGAGATTAAAAAAACACACACACACACAAACAAGTACAACCTTATATACATGTACAAATTTTGCCTCGTTGATGCGCCGGAAAAAACACGCACGTGTAAGGCGTGCAATGACTACTCGAACGCTGCGCATACAAAAATAATTCAAGTTTATAGTCACCTTTAAGTATAATAGTAAAGTAATGATATTTTAATCGAGAAATATGCCATAAAGAACAAAAAGCGACAATTAATTTTAACTAACACGCGGAATTAACAGTCTACGGTGTGTGATCATTGAATATGAGTCTCAATCTATTTTTAGACTTCAGCCAGTGAATATGATACTATATCCAGTGAATATGATTTTATAAAAAGTTCTGTTGACTACTGTTTGGACCAATGAGATTGCAGCTATATTTAGATCATATAATAAATTATTATATGGCACGTTTGAATGTTGCCTTTCATTTCATAATCTTAACGTTAATATTTTCGGATATAATGCTTTATGACGGTTTTATGGTTCTATATAAACAGTTTTTTGTATGTATAACCAGAGCTGCAAATTTATCTGATTATTGCAAAGTTAATATGATTTTTGTACACAGCTGCTGTCAAATTATGAAGTAATTTTTGTTTTTTTCTTCATATATGGTAATTCTAATAATTATGTTGTATTTTAAATTCATTATGAAGATATTATATTGCCGTGTGTAAACGGATGTCTGCAATATAAAACTCGCTTAGCGGTTCGGGTCATAACACCTTAAAACCGTTGATACCTGTCAATATACACTGTCAGACATATCTTATTATACTTAAAGATAAATTTGGGTCCTTACTTAAAAAAACCGCACAGGAACGTTAAATTCTTAATATACCTAATTTTTAAACTGCTGACGAAAAAGAATACTTGTGCTTTTATTTACGGGATGCGCCAACGTTTCTTCAGAGCATTGATAAAAAGCGGATTTGACTTCCAAGTTTTATCCTTGCGTTCCTTGGCGGATTTACAGAAAATCCTTATTCTTCAATATCTTTATTTTCTCGGAAAAAAGTAAATAAACCCTGATATAAATTTGTTATCTTTTTTCAAATAATTCATCAAAACATTTGGAGAAATGCATTTCTATTCTATTCAAAGATTATAAGATAAATGTATCAACAGGTCGGGTCGTTGACTTTGAACCATTTGCCGTAACATTGTTGGTTGAAATCCGCCAAAGGCTTTGGATTTATTTGTGTTAGGAAGCTATCCATATGCAATGTACATGCATTTTATGAAAAACTGGTGGGTTTACCCAAGTCCCCGTCATATGGAGGTACGCCTGAGGTCTTATTCTAGCAAGCAATAAAGCTAGGAAGTCGCATATGACGTTAAAATTGCCAAACCCAACAAGTAAAACATTAAGCATTAAAAAGACATTTAGATAAGCAAATAAGTTTGTTGATGACGTTAAAACAGTCAAGCTAACCTTTGAAAAATACACATAATTATTACAGTTACCAATGGAAACATATTGCCTAAAAGGAGAAACAGAATCCTTAAGGAATGTCCCGAAACGGGAAAAATTGAAAACAAAAAACGAACAAACAAACGAAAATACCCTTACGTTCGAAAAAGGCTCTAGTTTGTTAATCATCATTCAAAAGTATCTGTTAATAAGACACCTATTTTAATACAAAATATTCCATTTTTTTTCTAAACGTTGCAATAGCAACTGAACTGAGGGCTCTTTAAAAATTTATACTCTGACCTCCAACTATCTGCGAAGCGATAGCTCCGATTATTGTCATTTGAAATGGTTTTGTTGTCTCTGTGAAGAAAATCGTTACTTCTGTTGCCATCAAATGTTCCGCATAAGCCATCAATATTGCCGTAATCTTTAGCAGACATGTATATATCAATGTTCATTGTGTTACTCCATCCATGAAATGCTATGTCGATAATGGTACCTATTGGCGTTCTGACCTATATATTTAACCGCAGAGAATATTATATAAAGAAATGAAATTTTTATCCTAATGTAACAGGAAAGGTACTTAATTGTGTAAGTGTAGATATGGATAAAACAAAAAAATATATATTGAAACTATGAATTTCAGTCAGCGAGATGAGTGAGGTTGTTTTATGTAAAAATACTGTTTATTTAACAGAGAATGTTGATTTTCCAACTTCGGTGTTACTAGGTAGCTTATATTTATATAATTGTGTATGTAATTTAACTAATTGTGAATGAAAAGTCCTTGTTTAATGTTCTTCCGTCTTGTTTAATAATGGAATTTATTTTCCTTACACCTATTGTAAAATATATACAGACCTTATAACGATGGGAATGGATTTCGTCGATATCAATAAGGCCACCTTCATTGCACTTTAAGTCGAACTTGAAAATGGTGTTATAACATTTATTAAAGATGAAAGTATCAGCTCCAACAGCTATTGCTATTCCACATGCACATACAGGTCCGCTGTTTGATCCAGGGGAACAATACTGAGCTGACTGTTGAACCTGAAAACATATTCATTCTATTGTTTATCAAAGCTTAATTATTTCATACTAACCTTCATGCTAAGTATGTATATTTGTTCCCCTTTTCAATTTAACCTTTTGTATTATATTGTTTGAGCATTATCTTTTCAATACACTAAGATTGAAAGAAAAGAAAAATGTTTCGAAAGTAGTGATCATAAGGTTACATGTTTTAAATGCTTTGTATAATAACCATCTTTAAATCTGTGTTGTGTCTTTATCAGGTATCGAAAATATATGACACATTGTTTAAGACCTTATGTTATAAACTCCACTGCAAACGTTTTCAACAAATAAAAAAACATTTGTCCGAGTTAAAATTATATGCATTAAGCAATGTTGAATTTTATAACCTCTATTTGGTATTTCATATTCCTGTATAATGTATAATTTCCTTCCTTCTGAGCTTCATAATTCCTGAAAAATAGATAAGTGAATTCTTGCTTTTGTTTGTTTGTTCGTTTTGTTTAACGGCGCATCAACACAGTATATGTCATTTGGTGCCGAAACAGAAAAGATGATTTTGGCTACGCTCGGGAGCAACTCTTGGCTCAAAACCACCTCGCCTGCTAAACCTTAGTGATACATTGAATACATTGGATCGCCTCTTACGATCACGAACGGATACACTGTGACTGCAATTCTTTTGTCCTAACCATCAAAAGCAACATCTCAATCACAAGGAAATCTTGCTTTTGTAAAACACATACGAGGGTCATTCAATAGATAATGAAACCATCTTAATAACTTTTAAACTAATGATTCGAATTCCATAAAAATTTACATGACTATGCGTCAATCTATTTTCGATTTTTTCACAGAGTTTAATCACGTCATATTATGTGACGTCATCACAGCGTGACGTTGACTGACGTCACTTAAAGCGTCATAGCCGCGTTCACGTCGCAGGAACAGCGCAGTTACATCAAAATTAAATTTCAGCGTAACAAAAGCGCGAAAGTGTTATTCAATGCATTACAGGAAGCTTGTGGCACCTATGCTCTTTCGTATGTACAAGTTACTAGATGGGTAATAGAATTCAAGGACGGCAGGGTAACCATCGACCAGGGAGAAATGTTACAGCTACTGACTTGTATAGTACGGTCCAGGTAAAAAAGCTTTTAAATCATGACAGAAGGATATCGTGTGAAGAATTGGCACAGGAACTGGAAATAAGTGTAGGGTCGGTTCATACAATTATTCGAAACCATTTAAAATGCGCAAGGTTTCAGCAAGATGGGTACCACATCGCTTGACGTCGGAGCAGGCAGAACGTCGTTTGAACATCGCTACTAACCATTTTTCTCGCGACTTTTTATCAAGACTTGTGACTATTGGTGAAACTTGGGTAAGATTGTATGAGCCAGAGTTAAAAAGACAATCGGCTGAGTGGCATACTCCTAACTCTCCGAGGCCAGCAAAGTTTAGACGGGTACAGTCAAAATTTAAGATGCTGATGATATTTGCCTACGATATCCATGGTGTATTGACAAGTAATTAAGTGCAAAATGGACAAACTGTCAATGACAAGTACTATGAGGAGTACCTTAAAAAACACCTAAGACCAGCGATTCGAAAAAATCGTCCTGAACTTTTAGCGGCTAATCCAATAATCCTCCATGCCATGACAACGCAACGGCACACGGTGTAGAGGGGGTGACGTCACTCTTTCAGTCATACGGATGAGAAATATTAGCTCAAACACCTTATTCCCCGGATATTAGTCCATGTGACTATGACTCATTTTCCAAGCTGAAGGAACATATGAGAGGAATACGTTACGACGACCTTGTCGAGCATGTGAGCGCGGTTGCCTAGCAACGGGAATAGAACACCTGCCGAAGCGCTGGACATCGGTCGTTGACCACAAGGGATATTACTTTGAAGGATTATATTAAGGTAAGAATGATATCCTACGCTATTAAGAAATTATTTAGTAAGTTTCATTATTTATTGAACGACGTTCACGTTATCCGTATATATTTCAAATGTTGATGAAAAAAAAATGGACATTTTTTAAACCAGAATACAAAACAAAACAATAAGTTGATCGGGTTTTAAGTGGTTTAGTATAAAAGTTTATATGATGAATAATAACATTTATCTTCTGCTATATATAAATATGCTTTAAATAAATCTCACACTTACTTGCAATCTTTATATAATTATGTTGTGGTTTATTGTCACATATGATACTTAATACAATAAATACTAAATACTAATCAACATTATATGTTGTGGTATGTCAGACATTCCATTCCCCATAACCTTTCAATTTTTATTATTCAAAAATTAAATAGACAAATGTTCTTATACAACTTTTCTATATGGCATATTGCTTAAATGACCTTCGGAAACATTTTACGAGGACAGTTCAGTAAGAACGTAAAACCATGGTTTAAATACAGATAGGAGGAAAAATTAAACATTATTTTTCAATGAAACTCCCGTTACTTCAATGCATTTGATCAACCTTTCTTCCACCAGTTTATGCCTTTGAAATGAAGGTGGTCTGTTTCGTTTCCAAACAAAACGAGCCTTGAGTAATAATTATCTTGCAATATGCACACAAGTGGGACTTCAAATTTCAAAACAGATTATTATCACTTCGGGCAAGGTCTGGAATAAATGGCGGGGGACTTAATTGCTCAAATTGCACTAACTAACAGCCGCTTATACAATTTTTAATTGTGCACTGAGGCATTGTCAGAAGGATACCATGCGCTAGCTGTACTCTCCTTTTCATTACTAGCAAACATATGAAAAAGAAAATCAACAAGAAATAAAAAGCAAACCGTAATTGTTTAATGATATTGGCATGGTATTCACCTATAACTGAAGTAGCAGCAGCAGGCTTGTTATCCATTAATATAAGCCCTTAAGAGTTCCATAGTGACCATTACTTTGCCAGCTGATGGTTGAGGGGACTTTTTATAATATCTCAGACCCAGTGGCGAATTTACCAAGTTTCATCTCCTTATACAAAACGAGAATGAAAATTTATGGACTTAACTCTACCCTTTGATTACGATCTCACATGTTCAAGTATCTGGGTACCTACCTGATAGATACTTTTGACATGCCAAACACAATCTTCATGGATTAATGTGAAAAGACTTCTATTACAAAAAAACACATTTTGGTGCAAGGTCGACAACTGTGATTGCACGATCATTAAGCATTTAATTATCTCCTATCTAATGAAATCAGGAGGGCGACCTGGCCTAATGTCATAATATTCTCAGGTATCTCGCCCACGTTTATTTTCTACTGAGCTCTTTGCCTTTGTAAATTCTTTGGGTTACTACTCGTATCACTATACACATCAGCCACAATGCGATGGATTTTTGTGACGTTTATTCCCTCATTAGTGATGAACTTTATGACTGATCTTCACTCAATATTCTTGCTTTCCGTATTTGCATATGGGTAAAGATTATCGAACAAAAGTAAGAGCAAAATCTACGTGTTGACCAAATTGCCGTTGTCATGCAACTAACACAGGTTTAAAAAAAATGTAAAAACAATATCTTGTATTATATAAAAAAATATCAAGTTCTACGGAATTGAAGTCCCCTCGTAAATTTAGTTTATATAACCTCTAAAATATTTTGTAGAACATTTATAAATATTCATAAATATTATCTTACAATCCGTCTACTGTTCTCATATGTGGATCAACGTGTGAGTAACATCTTTTGTTCCGATGTCTGTAATTGTCTGTTACTCTAACCTGAAAATTACATCAAACTGTTTCATTCTAAAAATAACTGTTAAATGATTACACATGTTCTTGTGCCTTAAATCGCATATTATATTAAGAACATAAGGACCTACTTTTAAAGAAATGTTGAAAGATTAATATGAAATTTATACAGTTTCTTTTCTTCATAAGCATTCTATGATCGTCTTGATGTTAAATAACTGACGTCGTTTAAAATAAAAATAAATTTACTCACATGAATGGCTCCTATAGTCTGAAACAAAAAAGACATTCAAGTAAAATATAGTAATTAACTATATGACAAATGTACTAGTTGTTAGACAAAAAAGCCATCAATAAATATTGTAGCAAAATATTAAAATAAAGACCTTTAAATACAATATTCAATTTTGTTTAGGTTAATCTTTAAACAGTACCATGAAATAAACCTAAAGACGGGAATAAACCATACCTCTGATCTGACTGATCTTCGTTTGTCATGGCCGGTAGTGTCTGTTACGTATACTTGTAAGTCGAACTTTGTTGCATCGTCATATGTGCTGTCAGCAGTTGTCAACACTATCCTATGTGTGGTACTTGTCCATTGTTCATTTTTCTTTAAACTCTGTACAAAAATGTTATCTTTAAATCACGGGGGGGGAATCACGTGACTTTTTGTAGTAATGCCCACGAGAAAATGGCGACTGCTGAGCCCCGGTAAGTACCTTATTATGTTAAATTAAGGTGACAAACGTTTCTTAAATACAAACAAAACCTAGCGCATCATATGCGCGCAAATTTTCTTCAAATGATAATACAAAGTGCATTGTCCTACGTCTTGTGGTTTTTGAGAACATTGTTTGAATTGTGTGAAAATTGCACAGGCAGCGATAGTAATTCGCACGAAGCGGTATAATTTGGTACCAAAATAAATGAAAATAAGCTTTCTTTCTGCACTTAAGACGCCAATTCAATCATTTTATTGACATCTATTATCCTAGAAGTCCATATAAAACTTTGTTCGGAGGTCTGTAGCCTACAAATGTTCTTTTCAAGTGTATAGTAAGTAAAACGAACAATTTCTAGATAGTAAGTCGCACGAAAACAAAATAGTAAGTTTCACGCACAGTTTCCAATAGCATATATACATTAATAGAAAGTTGGAGTTTATATGTGAAGGGATAGAAAACAATGATTTCAATTATTCAAGATCAAATATTCCATTTTTTGTCTATAGAACGAATGCTTTATTGGTTATTCGTACATGTTTTAAGACCCCGTTGTCGCGAATTATGCGATACACTCCTTATGTTGACCTCATAGTTTCTGCTACAAAGAAATTTGTTACCTTAGTACATAAGCTTAAGTATTAAATTTGCACTGTGTTATCGAAAATATAAGAAGTAATATCAATGTTTGCTGTTTATGAAACCTTAATAGAAAACATGAATTTGGTGGCTGGAAATATTGTAAAATGTTTATTTCACGAATAACAGTTTGTGAAATAATATATCATGTTTTTTTGTGTTTTTTTATCTTTAAAATAAGGAAGATTACGGGTTGTAAATGACCTTTAAATCTCTAAAATTTAGTTAACTTTTTATATTGTTTTCAGAATGGACTTTCGTTTTGTATGCAAAACATGTGGAAAAGGATACAAAAGTGCATCCGGGCTATCGGCGCACGAGAGAACCCATGCTGGTAATGCCCCCTACAGATGTTGCGGAAAGCTGTTTTTCAGCAAAGCAAATATTACCAGACATAGGTATTTTAAAATTATTTATTTCTTCGTTAAATAAGATACATAACAAAGAATCAATAACTATAGTGTTTGATTGTATTTACATTTATTACCGTCAGCATAAAAGTAAATGTGCTCCTCAAAGAAGCATAAATCCATTAATTCTCAAAATGATATCATTTTTATTTTTCAAAAACGTATTTGTTGTACTGCTACATTTTCCAAAAGATTACTTAATACCACTTTACTCACATTTTGATACATTTATAACAAATTATTTCACATTCAATGCTCTTTTCTTCATGCGATTAGCATATACAACATGGGAATATTATAAAACACATATTTTCCTTGCTACAGAACGAAATTCAAGGCTGAATGGGCCTTTAAAAATGATTCAAAGAAAAGTTTAACGTATGATCTCAATTTAGTGTGCTTTTCATTTTGTGATGTTGCAGGTGTTCTAAGCACAAGGAAGAAATGCAGTTTGTATGCCACTGTGGAAGCATTTTTGCAGTGGGGGCCGACTTGCGGGCTCACCAAAAGGTGCATGGGTCGGCAGCGTACACATGTGACATCTGCAATACAAGTATCCATCGGAAAAAACAATTTGAGGACCACATGGCTATGCATAGCGGGGAGAAGAACTATGTATGTCCATGTGGGAAGAGGTTCACACACAGACCTAATTTGGCCCAGCATTCAAAGAGATGCCAACAGAAGAAGTGATAAGAGTATATGATTTAATTTGAGACATTATGACATGTTTTATGTAACTCCCGCATAAGGAAAGTTTTAAGGTTGTTCGTCTGGCCGTCCGTTTTAACTAAACTTGACAGAAGTAATTTACATGCGATTTTTATAAGAAATTTGACTTAGATTCATAAATGCCATTGACCTTCAAGGTCAATTCCTTTAATTTTGCTAAAATCTGCTAATTTCTCCAAACGTTTTGTTTTCATACTTGGCCATTATACTCAAGTATGTCATTGACATAAGAATAAATGACCGTCAATGCTTAATCATTTAATTTCGCTAAAATCGACCGTAGCTTTATCAATCAATCACAATCAACACTAGTTTTAGGAAAAACCATCAACGACATTACCGTTAAAATACGGTAAACAAGATCCACAAAGAAACAATTCAATTTTGTAAATTTTGCAAACATCACTCAATTTTGATCAAACTTGGCACGACTAACTAACATTAAGTCTACTTGCTAACATTATAGACCTTAAGTTAACCAGAGTTGACTTTCACTAATACATGACCTTGACCTTGAAAGTCAAATCATTGATTTTGTTGCTGTAACTAGCCTTGTTATCATTGAATGGATTAACTTCTTATTAAGATACACGTTCTTCAGGATTAGACTTTCATGTATATTAAACTCAAAGTTACCTTGGCTCTATGACCTTGACCTTTAAACTATTGAATTTCAATGTTTTGTTATAAAGGATGTAACTTAGTAAACAATCAATAGATTATCTTTATATTTGGATAAAACATCATTAAGTTGCGCTTACCTTTGCCATGAGCTTTAAATGACGTTGATTGTCAAGGTCGAACGATTGAATTTTGGTTATATTGTCATTAGTTTATTTATATACGATTTTGATTTATACGTAGACAAAACAACAGTTGTGACAAACGGACATGTTGAATAATTTAGATATGACCTTGAACTTTAAATGACATTGACCGTCAACGTCAGGTGACTGAATTTTGCTTATATGTTTTTACTTGGTCCTTCATTTATTGAAATGATTCAAAATTTAAATTAGAAATAGGAAAACGTCAATTTTCTACCTTATTGTTTTCTTTCATTGATTAAACCTGTATGCGGGGGTATTATAATATTCATTTTATGAACTGTTAAGTTATTTAAACTAACATCGGAGATCCGATGCAAGCTAATTTTAGTTAACATGGTTACAAAAAGGCAATTGTTTACGTTTTCTAGTCAAATGTTGTGTAAATGGAACAATATATTATACTTTCATTTTACACATTTTACCAAGATATTTTTTCTATCTGTCATGTGTTACATACTTTTCATGTACTTTTTATTCAAACATTAATGTGGATTGATCTCAGCAAATAGTGCGTTTTTACAAAATCAAGCATCATCATCATCATTATCATCATCATCACTGCCTCCACCAACACCATGTTCACAAGCATCATGTTCATCATCATCATTTCGATCAACAACAAATTGCCACAACTTTCATCTTTTGTTATAATTTATTTTAAATTTTGTATTGGACAAAGAAGTCTATATGTTTTATTTTTTCTTTGTATGTTTACTTTTTATTGTCAGTTGACATGTTCACTTCATCTGTGATTAAGCAATGATTTTAATCTGTGATTACTTTACTACCTGTGATATTTTAAGAATGATAATTAAATAATAAAAGTGATAAAAATTCATATGTTTTTTAATATTTATTCCATTTTTGTATTTTAGCGTGTATGTATATACTTTGCAGTATGAAGCTAGAATAAAAGCAAATCACAAATATTACATGTATTATTGGCAAATACTTAGAAAACTGTAAAGATAACATTGATATAGTTATGTCAATGTGGTGTATTATCTTATACATTTCGCAATTACATATTAAGTCGTCGATCGGAAAAAAATAAACATAAAATAGACATTTCTTGTAGGAATGAATAATTATGTTAGGAATCACTTTTTCGACACTTAAACACAATGAAACAGTAAACATGTACATTTCTAATCAAACTTTCTTCACTTAAACTCAAAATATTCACTTTCTATTTAAATGCACTTTCTGAACAGAAGTGAAATAGTAAAATGACAAATAAAAAATGTAATGCATTGAAAGAAATTATACACTAGATAATCACATCTTTGATATAGAAAGTTTGATATATTAACGTATGTCAATGTCTTTTATCTAATTGCCATCAATACCCATTCTGTCTGTAGGTAGCATCTTTGCCTCATTTCTGCGTGCACGTTCCCATCGAACACCAAGCGCACCTCTTTGTACAGCATTCCTCGAAGATGACACTGTTTCGGGTTTGCTACGTCCTTTCAGCCTTTTTCTCCCTGCCTTATCAAACGAATGGTCCCTGGTGAAACAAAATTTAATTATAAATATTAAAACATTAAACATGTAAGCAAAGTAAAACCTATGGGTTTGTGTTGTTAAAATTTCTTTATTTTGAGAGGAAATCATATGGTCTAGATTAACAATCAAATATATATTACAACTTACTCGGGAATGATTTTCTTTGGAAGAAGGGATTTGTCTGCAACACAGGGTATGCAATTTTTCACATCAGCCTCGCCCAGAAATGTCTCGCATTCTTCCACCAGGTCATAGACATTGTTTTTACTGGTTCGGTAGGCAAAGGTTCTGTAATTTTGAACAAAAAAAACAACAACATACATTTAATATATTTGTTAAACATTCTGTAGATTGAAAACTGTATGGTTTCAAAATAGCTATTGTACACATGTGCTTATATTTGACAATAATATCAATACCTAATTATTATTGATATTTACTACATTAGGAACGGTGACCTTATTTGGTCAACAAATATCGATGGGCAATTGTTTCGATAGGCAATTGAAACATTTTTTCAGAAAAGATAATGTATTAATATTATATTATCATAACATTATTCAAGAAATCCATTATGCTTTAAAGTTTTTATTGGAAGTGAGGGAAATTGTAAATAACTTACCTCTTAGGATCGAGCCGAGCTTGGACCTTTTCGACAGTTGCACCTATGAACCGACCAAACTCCTTTGATGTGACAGCTCCTTTTCCAGCCTTATCATGAAGAACTAACTCAGAGAAAAATGTTTCGCCCATCATGCTACTGAAGGAACGAACATTATATGTACCCCTATGACAAAGTCCATAAAGCAATGCTTTTGCGTCAATGTTTGCCAGCATTGCCTCCCATAGCTGTAGAGGCCAACCATTCATGGCAACTGTTGCTGGGGGAAATTTTGAAAAATTTGCAAAATTTAACAAGCGATTTCTAAGACCTTCTCGCAGTTTGATTCGTTCGTTTGCAGGGATTCCAGGACAGTCCTCTGATTGCCACCAGTTCCTTATATCTCTGCAAAGATCTGCACATCCTATATCATTGTTACATCGCATCAAACTCTCCACTTCCTCAGAGAAATGCGTTTTTGCCATTTGGACCGACATTGGATCGATAACCTCATCAACCATGATTTTTGTAAGTAACGTCTTCTTTGTTGCCGCTACTGCCCGCCATGGCTCATTCGAATAACCATCTAGTCCTCCGCGACAACTCTTTTGCCTTGACCGGGTCAACAGATGTGTTGAATCTATGCAGCGAACTTCGAACTGTTTTCTTGTTTTACTATAGTCAGGTTTATAAAACCAAGTGCATTTGTTTCCATTGATTGTAACATCCTTTATATCCATATCCCAAGTCTGATACTTTTCTTGCCATTGATTTTCTGAAAACCAAACACTTAGTTCGTATTTTGAGTGTGTCTTCGTGATAACTTTCAAAGCAAGACTTGCTAAGCTGTCAACTCTACGCTTGATAACTCGTCTATTCTCACAAGAATTCCCAATTACGTCATCAAGCCCAAACAGTTTTGACAATTCTGCAATCTTTGTTTTCTTTGTAACTGATTCTTTGATTTTAACACCCTTTGTCTTTCTTAAGTATCGGACAATGACTTTTAACTCTATGTCTAGAAATGTTTTCAGTTCGTTTAGTGACTTAAACTTCGCCAAAAGATCTGATGATGTTACATTGTCCCATTTGAAATTTTTGTTGCTGTCTTTTGTCGTCTTAAACATTGACAGAATGCAAGACATGTCATCTTCTTGCAAAGTTAAAATTGGTAAAGGGATGTTCTCAGCTATACTTTTGTTTTCATTCGAACATGTTTCGTTGCTTCTAGTCAATGTCTCACTTCTGCTGGATGTTGCTGCATTGTCTATTTGAAGTTCAACTGTAGAACAATCTTGGTCTTCGATCATTTTTTCGGCCCATAAGTCTTCTCTTATGTTTGACCTAAAGGCTTCAAATTCTTCCCTTTCTTCTATCAAAGTCATCTTCAATACATCACAAGATGTATCACTTGTGTCAGCAACATGTTGTGGAATCGATTCTGCTAATGAGGGTTGAGGTTCAATATCGGTAGCAGTAGAGGCTTGTTGTTTCTTTTTGTCCTCGTCTATCCGAGAAGTTTGATTTTTCCGATATTGTGGGAAAATCTTTTGATAAGTTGCTACTATTATATGCTTTTTAGGTTCATGGCTGGATTCGTTGCCATTAGAAACTTCTATTCTGTTCCAAGTAGGAGTCCGATTTAACTTTCTTACCTCTGAGATTATGTCACATTTTGACATTTTGATTACGGAGTTCCAAACATCCTTTTGCAGCTGTAAAATTGTCAGCGGCTTATTATCCGTTGAGCGAATAACAATGCCATGCCATTGACCATCAAATGAAGAACAAGGGACATGAATTCCATTGTTGTGTGCACATGTATGTACCTCCTCTGTGATGTCTCTTATGGTCTTTGTGGTTAAACTGTAACCCTTGGGAAACCAAGCTACCGGTGCCCACTTAACACGTTCTTTGTCCCAACTTCTGTCAAGATCACACAGTAAGTATACAACTGCTTCAGAAGCCCGCTCTCTGTTTATTTCGTAGTGATTTTCAGTGAGAATTTTTACTTCATGAATAGTAGCAACTAATTTCTGAACTGATATACTTCTTGACTTAAAAGGTTCCATGTCCGGCTCAGTGTTTGAATGAACTATGGATTTGAAACGTCCAATCATTTGGACACTCTTGCTTCTTTCTTCAATTTTCTTTTTTAATTCCTTCTGCTCTTCACTGTACTTTGTTGGTTTTTTAACATTTTCTTCTCCATACATCTTCAATGCCAGCTTCATAGCATCTTGGAAGAGTGGTTGATCTCTAAGTACTGAGAAAACTGTGGTTTCCTCAGGTGTCCAACTAACGAATAAAAGATAGGGAACATCTAATACCTCGATTTCAGAAAGACACTGTAGGAGATATCTATGAGGAAATCTTGAGTGGATACTGTAGTATGGACACTTAATTTCAATGGCTACTTTAGTTGTTTCAAAAGAGGCATTCATACGTAAACTTCCATCGGGGGACACAACCATGAATATTTCACTATCTTCAGTCAAAACGGTAGAGCAACCTTCTTCATAGAATTTAAGATCAGGTTCAAAGACAGGCAATACCTTCCCAACAACTGTCGCTATGGCATTTATTTCATTTATAACACCGTGATTCATGGCCTTCTTTTGTTCTTCTGACCGTTCAAGTTCTGGAACACCACATATTACTTTATCGAAGTGATCCTGTTGCCGTTTAAGACCTTCTCCACCTAGAGCAGCAAACAAGGTACTTCCGGTTACTTTCGCTGCTTTTCTTAGTTCTAACCATTCTGGTGTCCTTTGGTTTAAAAGCCTTGTATTTTGTTCATGCCTTTTAATGTCTTCTTTCTGTTTGGGTATTGCGACATAATCTGGGTGATTTTCAATGTTTGTTGTGTTGGAACTCACAAAGCTGTGGTTGTTCAGGAATGCGACTATCTCTTCTATTTCTTCGAGCACATCACATGCTAGGTTAAGAAATTCGTCTAAGTCATGCAAAAAACGCTATTATGGCACTTATTGCATAGACATATTTTCCTTTTCGCCAGTGTGTGGCTCCTCCTCTTTCAATAAGTTTTGTTTTACAGTATTCTTTTTTCCTGCGTATTTCTCGTACTTGAAATATATCAGTGGAGAGTCTCTTTATAGTTTTGATCAGAAGGTTTAAAACATCAGTTTTAGAATCGTTAGGTAGATCGTCAATACTTGAAACATCAGTTTCAAACGTAGTTAGTTTCGCTTGCATATCATTTAGTTCTTGAATATGTTCTGTTAAACAATTTTTTTTCTCTGATAAGGTTTTATCAGTTTCGTGTCCAAGCAGATCAACATCACCTGAATCTTCGGTAAGGCCCATCTTCAATTTCTTACCATCGAATGTTAAACAAGTAGACTGATGTTCCATTGATGAACCCAAGAAGGTCATCATGTCGTTGTATATACCAGGCCGCCTTTCTTCACCTACATTTGACAGATCAAAATGTCGAAGAACTTTAATATCAGGGACTGCAAAATTCACCTCTGAGTTCTCTGGGCTATATTCACCAGGTTGGTCCGTTCTTTGTATAAGATTTCCATGGCTCTTGAACCCTCCCATGAAGTTGATGAATCTTTCTCCGAAAGCTCTCCATCCAAGTTTCCAAAACATTTTTGTGATGTCTGTGTACCTCATATTTGTTGTTGATTTGTTTTCATGCCACTTGACTACCTCTAACCAGAGCTGGAAAGCAATGTTAGTAAGTGGAAATTTATGATTTTTAACTTGACGAAAAAATAACAGAATAGATTCGTCAAGGTTACCATGACTGGCCAATTCATTCATAACTTCTGGCAGTATTTGTTTCATCTCTTCAATTTTTTGTTCATTTTTTAAAAGTTCATTCTTTTCGGTATTTTGACAGTTTGATTTAGGAGTGTTATTTTCGTCATTGGCATTTAGATGTGTGAGTGGATAGGCTGTATATTCAGGTGGTATTTCTTGAAAAGAGGACATTAATTCACATTTCCTTTCGCGGGAGTCTGTTTGAATAACCACACATTCTGTAAGGTCGTTGTTACTGGCCACGTCATTGATTGTGAATATCTCATTTTCCGTATTCACATTGTTTTGCCCTGTATGTGTTGTCACAGTTGGTAACTGTAAATAACTGTTTTGATTGTCTGACGCACAACAACTATCCTGGAATAGGCGTCTCGATGATCCAACCTTTCTTTTCTTGTTCGCTGGCGATGCTTTATATAGAGGTGATTTGTAAGGTGACTTCAGTGGCGTTTGTTTGAAGGAACTTTTGGTGGGATATGATTTGTAAGGTGACTTCAGTGGCGTTTGTTTAAAAGGACTTTTGATAGGATTTAATGTCACACGGCTTGTTATTTTTCTTTTACGGTAGGGGTTCTTTGATCTCTGAAGTGTAAGGTGTGTCTTGGCTTTCATTTTTCTGCAATTAGAAAAAAGATGAACATATATAATTGCTCGTCATTTGGTATGGTGATGTTTATTAACTGAATGCTGATGTTTTTTATATGGAGGTATTTGTTACAGTAAGTCACTATGTTACTTAATTTATGAAAATATATTGAAGAATTTGCAAGAACAAAATAAATTCTTACAAAAACAACAACAACAGCAACAACAAAAAACATGGTACATGGCGCATTGTGCCTCAAAAATCCATATTTTTAAATTCTTTAGAAATGTCAAACATGTGTTTGATAAATGGATAAAACGCATGATAGTATCTTATAACAACTGAAAAAGGTAGCGCTGGACATAAAGTGATGTGTCGTAAAGATAGCGAAATGTAAACAAAGAAGTATTTTGACTTCAATACAAAATGCTTATTCACTAAAAGGTATACCAATTGCCAACAAAACTAAAGATGCTAAAAGATAGTTTGAGTATCTAGCAAATAAGTATGTTGTCGCAAACTGTAACAAGATACCAAAAATAAACAGTTTCTATTTAAATAAAAATGATAGAATTTCAGAAAAATAATGGGCCTTTAAAGAAAAACGAATATTTGAAATCAAACGGTCAAAGATATCTGTACTTTTTAAAGATAAGGCAAGTGGAGTAAAAATATTAATTACATAAAACAATCTTATATGCTGGGTATCAAATCACACCGTCACTGTCACGACATCTGAGTTAAAGAACGGGGTTTTGTTAGCTAGTTTGATGAAAGAATTCAAGGACGCTGGTGGGACTAGAATCCATAGCGGTGAGAAGAATGTGTATAATAATCAGGGACTTTAACCACTCGGCCATTGAGGCACTGAATATCTTAATTACTTACTGTATCACGAACAAAAAGTAACAGTTTACGACGCAACACATTTGTGCACATGGTTAGTAAATAAGCGTATAGTGATTCATAACGTTTTAACAAAACTTCTTTGGTTAATTTATAAAATATGCCTGTGTATAAAAGAATAAATAAATACTTTGTATACCTGTTCTATTACGGCATTGAATATCAATTTGATATGATGAATTCTTCTTCTTTTTGGTCTAAATTGCAGATACTGAAAAGTAAATAAAAGTGTTGTAATATTTCCTCCGGCACAGTTATTTATTTATATATCTAGTTCTACAGATGATGGATGTGGGTCCAGTCTAACGTGAAAAAGGCCATGTAGAACGTACATTGTCTTAGAACGTACATCAATGTCAATGTCTCATTCTTTTTAAGTTAAGTAATCTTTTATGAAATTATATAAATATGATTATTATGAAATAGAATGAAGTATAATTAAAATACTTTCTCGACATTTGTTTCTCTGTCACTGTAGAAGGAACACACAAAATGGTAAACAAAAGAATTTTAAAATAGTTTCGTCACATTTTAGTAATGTATTGGAAACTGTGCGTGAAACTTACTATTTTGTTTTCGTGCGACTTACTATCTAGAAATTGTTCGTTTTACTTACTATACACTTGAAAAGAACATTTGTAGGCTACAGACCTCCGAACAAAGTTTTATATGGACTTCTAGGATAATAGATGTCAATAAAATGATTGAATTGGCGTCTTAAGTGCAGAAAGAAAGCTTATTTTCATTTATTTTGGTACCAAATTATACCGCTTCGTGCGAATTACTATCGCTGCCTGTGCAATTTTCACACAATTCAAACAATGTTCTCAAAAACCACAAGACGTAGGATAATGCACTTTGTATTATCATTTGAAGAAAATTTGCGCGCATATGATGCGCTAGGTTTTGTTTGTATTTAAGAAACGTTTGTCACCTTAATTTAACATAATAAGGTACTTACCGGGGCTCAGCAGTCGCCATTTTCTCGTGGGCATTACTACAAAAAGTCACGTGATTCCCCCCCGTGTAAATGAATGCTAGAAAATGTTTGTGTCATATTCTAAAGGATGTTACCATTAGTATACGTTTGCGCAGGCGCGTACTTACAACACTATAATATTTTATCGAGAAGAACCAAATTAAAATTCAAACGGTTCAAAATTTACAATTAAACTAGTCTTGATAATACGCTCAAAATAAGTAAAAATAGGTATAAAATACTGAAAAACATCCCGGAACCGGATATAAATTTGGCAAATATGAAAAGATGACCTCATTTTCAATAAATTATGTAATTATTGATTATTATATTAAACATGTTTGTCTATATGGCTCATTTGTGAATATACAGTAATTTCTAAAAATAGAATTGGGGCGTGAACGGTCTAACGGTTAAGGTCGTTGACTTCAAATTTCCCTTAAGCTTTGATTTAAACATGTCAAGATTATCCTGTCGTGTAAAATAAACGGTATAATTAGCCTGAGCTACAGACGATCGATGTAGATGAATAAATGTAAAAATAAATTGTTTGCTTTGTTGGTTTCTTAGTCACAACAAAACTACAAATGACTTTTTTGCGATTTTTTATCTCAAATTGTGGTGTGAGACCTCAGAAATCTCTTCGCACAATCGGTTGCCTCAGTTAAACCACCAACCTTACACAGTATTGCTAAAAAAATCGGTATAAACCAAATAATCATCCAACAAATAAGTAGAATGTCAATGCAAATGCTCAATTATAAACATCAAATTTGCAAAGTATAAAATAATCGTTTTCTTTACAATTTGGGCTATATTGGACTCATACCTATCTGAAAAACAATATAAGACTGACCTGGCCACTAATTCAATATTTACTTCTGACGGATAGTAACCTATGTTTTTGTATAATATTGTAAATTTATCTTACATTATGAGCAATCGATCAATTCCCTATAATAACAAGTGTCTGTTAACAGTGTTTAACGTAAACTTAATATGAATGCCTAGATTTTAACAACAGGCATATTGTTTATTGGGCAGGTTGATCAATCTTAAAAAAGGTTTATAACCTCGTACATTATAATTACGACATTAAGTCTTATCTAATACGTCATTTAACATCTATTTATTAACAACGTTTATATCAAAAGATTTTAAATAGCTTAGGTGGTTAAAACGTGATCTAAAATATTAAATAATGTCTCAAAATGTTTTAATAGACGTCGACAATTTTAATTTACAAAATTGTAAAATCATTTGACAAACATATTAACAAAATGACCTATCAAAATGTATGCTTTAAGATATTATAAAAAATGATTAAACTTTTATATGCATCGTTTGCATTTAATATTTAAAATAAACATGATATTTAATGCAAATATTTCAGTTTTCGCCTTAATTAGATAATTTCGGTTGGGTAATACAAAAATTATGGTAATATTGCAAACAATGCCTGTTTAAATTTTGAAACTTTTTAGGAAATCAGGTCAACCGTTTGGTTACAATACACTTGGGTGTAACCATACATTAAGTAAGAAAGACTTATCTAGTTTTAGCAAAAAAAAACCCCCACCTTAATTACAATGACCGCAACCCCATACAAATTACCTTAATACAAATCACTTAAGGTTGTGGTTCATAGACCAATATTTGAAAAGATAAACAACAGAAAAATTATTTTTTTGCATCATTTACCCTGATCCCGGTAAATGACAGAAGTCCATGAAAATGCATCGAAAGTAAATAAACATGACCTAAAGAAGCCTCCGCATTCGGGAACCAATCAGTGTTTTTTAATGATTGCACATAAATCAAATAAATATTAAGAGAAGATTGTTTTAAGGTCATGAAATACAAAACCATGATTGCTTTCACCTGTATGTATATTTGTTCATATAAGAACATTACAAAATAATCAATAACAAATAAAGAAATTATAACAATTTTTCATGACATACATACATACATTGTGGTCGATAAGGGGTTTAAATCACGTTTAAAACTGCTATCATAATGGTAATTTCTGTTTTTGTCATTTTAATGTCCATAACTCTACCAGAACTGCTTTTATCAGGCTTGCTTTTTAAAGCAATTGAGGGCTTCTAGAGATACAAATTTTGTGCAAGTTCGGTTAAAATAACATAAAAAAGTGAAACTACTATTGTGCTGACACAAGGGGAAGGTTGGCAAACAAACATATGCGATCAAAATAACTATTACTATTAAACTTATAAGAATATAAAAAAAATTCATTCTAAAAACGAAAGGAAAAGGAAACGTCATAAAATGCTTTTTATTATATGTTTTCAATGATCATTTGTTGAGTGCAAGTGAACTAACTGTACCTGATTTTCACCATTTGATATGGGGCTTTGTTCTAGTACACCTACTTTATAATAATAACATATGTTAAAACAAATGTGTATTGCCATTTGTTGTAACAAAAGAATGTTTCAGTTTATACAGTCAGACGCTTCATTAAATGCAGAAAATAATGATTTCATTTATTTACACAGATCCCTATATTGAGTCCAACAGTGTTTTGTAAACAAACTTTCCATTTTTTTCAAGGTTTTAACTGTAAAAATAACTATCATTAATCTTAACGTTAAATGTTTCAGTGTTTAGTTTTTTTTTATAGGAATTTTGATTTATTTATTTGAACATTCTTTCACTGGAATATGAACTCAAACACTGCTATCTAGAATTTAAAGTATTTGCGTGCTGTAACAATTCATCAAATACCACAGGTGGTTATAATAGAATGGGTTGGGAGATAATTTATAATAATAATTATATTATGCCTCTATTGTCTGAATTCGTTGTGTATTTAATTACATTAATATATGTACCTTAAATGAATATGTTCAGTAAGTTTAGCGCTTTGTTGGTGAAGTGGATAGACGCTTGCATTGAATACATTTGTTCATGAACAATCTCACTCAATATATACTGCATCATATTTACGTTTTAACAAAATAAAGACATTAAGTGATGTTTATAAATCTGATTTATGTCCATGTATCATTTTTGGCAAATAAACGCATAGGCTACACATTTAATTTGAAATACAAACTGTAACAAGTAAATATTTTCAACAGTTCGCTTATTTGCTTTTGGGTTGGTTTTACATCG